TGACACTTTCCAGTACAGATTGGATACTTCCAGTGTACCTGCAGGGGTGGGTGTGCATGAGCCCCCTAGGCTGGCTCATGTGCAGGTTCACGGGCGTACAGGTCTGCGTGTGCATATGTGTGCCTCGTACACACGGAAGTCTTTATGTTGCACGAGGCAGGTTGTATTTGCGTGGGGGCATCAGGCACAAGCGCGTGCAAACGATCCCGGGCACTTGGCACTGAGACAACACCCTGGGTGGGAGAAGCGTCGTTCTCGGTTCTCTGCCCCAGCACTCTCACCGCCCTGCTTCCCTTCAGCTCAGCACTGCTGGGAATTTAGACTTCTTCCTGGCCCCCGACTAGACCCAGGGACCTTGAGGGGCCATAGGGCATTTTTAAGGAGGTCAGTGGTATGGGTTAAACACCTCCAAGGAAGAGGCAGTTGGTGAGTCAAGTTGGGGCACCGGGGTTGTGGCCCTGCCATGCGGCTGAGGGGCATCTGGGCCCACCCTGTCCACCTCTCTCGTCCATCCACCCCCTGGCCCTGGCCTTTCCACTTCTCAGAGCATCACCCTCAGGGGTCTGGAGCCTCATCCCTGGCTTCCTGGTCTCCATTTCTAATGCTTGGACAGGACTGTGTCTCTCCTCTGCCCAGAATCCTTCCTTGGCTTCCCACTGCCTGCAGGACAAAGCCCAAGTTCCTTGTCTGGCCTGTGGGGTCCGCTCGCCTTTCCTCATCGCTGTGGCTTCCCCCTCTACTCAGACTGGGATCCCTCCTGGAGGCAGGGATGAAGAGCGAGGGACGCAAGTGAGCGTCTCTCTTCACCCCTGTTTATATGTGATCTGGAGTCCAGCGAATCTGCATTCAGATCTCAGCTTTGCCATTTCCTAGCTCTTCGGGACGCTGGGCGGGTTTCAGACCCTCTGAGTGTTATATGCCTCCTTGGCCAGATAGAGATAAGTTAGTATTTCTTTTTGCTATGGCTGGATTCATTTTTATTTTCAATTGTATTTGTTTTTAAAAGTTATGTTCACCTGGCTCAAAAGGCTAATAATATAAAATATACAAAAGATTACATAATACAGCGAAAATTTCCTCTCATGATACCCCATTCCCTTGTATCTTCCTTGGCCTCAAAGTTACTCTTTTTTAAAAAACTTTTTCCATATTATTATTTACTTATCTTTAGAGGGGAAGTAGAAAGAGAGGGAGAGAAACATCAGTGTGTGGTTGCCTCTCACATGGTCCCCACTGGGGACTGGGCCTGCAACCCCGGCATGTGCCCTCACTGGGAATCAAACCGTGATTCTCTGGTTCGCAGGCTGGCACTCAATCCACTGAGCTACATCAGCCAGGCCAAAGTGACTCTTTTTAAACACCTGGTAGACTCTTCCGTGTCACCTGTGTGTTCTCCTTGGACATTCTGTCAGCCCTCACAGCCATCTACCCGGGACCGGGGGAAACAGCTCAGAGACAAGAAGCCACTTGGCCCGAAGTAGTCGACCCAACATAATGTGACAGTGTCCATTTACGTAGTGCCTACTCTGTCCCAGGTCCCCAGGACTGTCCCAGACCTGGGATATTCAACAGATCCTGCGCGCCCTCATCCTCTGGGCACTCGGCTGGGTGCTGGAGACGGCGCCACTTTCCGGGTCGGAAAAGCAAGCAACGGGAGGGGAAAAACCGCCTTGAAGTCACAGAGTGATAACCAGCCCCGTTTTACGGGCGGGGAAACTGGGGCACCGAAAAGAGAAGTGACTCGCCCAAGGAAACCCGTCCGGTAGAGACAGAGGCTAGACTGCGAGGCTCCGACCGGGGGCTCGGCTTCCGCAAGCCGCCGCACGCCACTCCCCCGGGGGCGTGTCCAGCCCCGGCCCCGCCCCCGGCCGCGATCCAGGGCCGCCGTTTCCTGCCTGCGTCGCTGGGCGGGCGGCCGGCCCATCTGGCGGCCCCCGTGGCGGGGTGCGGGGAGGTGGCCCAGACTCGCTGGAGCCAGGCGCCGGCCGGGCCCCCTTGCCCGCCTGCAGAGCCCAGGTGTGGCCGCGGCAGGGGAGGGGGTGTGCCTTCCTTCCCGCTCGGCCCTTCCTGACGCACCCGGGCAGGATGCAGCCGCCTCCCGCCCCTCTGCCTCCGCCTCCCACGGCACAGCCCGGAGTCGTGGAGGGAATCCGAGCTCTGGGGGAGCGGGACTGGCTGGAAGCCTCAGGCCCAGCCTGCCTCCTGTATCCGCTCTTTGTGAGACCCTGGTCAAACCTTGCTCGTTTTGAGGGGGGCTCAGTTTTCTCATTCGTGCAAGGACAGCTGGACTCTTGACCACCAGGCTCTGGCCTTGCCCCTCAGGGACCCCAGGCAGGACTGGGGGGTGGGGGGGGCAGAGGCAGGTATTCTGCCTTAGGTCTTGACATTATTCATTCACTCACCCATTTCTAGTTAGTCTCCCCATCACAACTCAGCCCTGGAGGGCAGGCGGTTGGTTGGCTTGTGTTCCCCGCTGTGCCCATTGACTGCATGATGCCCAGTGCATACCTGGGGCGGGGTGGGGGGGCTGACAGGGCATCTCAAGGCTTCACTCCCACCCCACAAAGCTGGAGCCTTGTTTGGAAGGGAGGTTCTTACCCATTTCACAGCTGAGGAAACAAGAGTGGGCAGGCCTATTCCAGTCCCCCAGTGGCAGCCAGCCCTGCTGTCAGACTGACTTGCTTCTCCAACGTGGCCACCAAGAAATGGAACCCGGAATCCAGTATCCTCACATGTCAAACAGCACCTCTGATGAACATCACGGTCTGGGAAGCCAGGCACCCTGGACTCAAGTCCCCTCCAGGAACTTAGGTCTCCGTTTCACTTTCCTCCATCTGTAAAAATGATGGTACCTACTTCGCAGGGTTGTTTTAACAGTAAGATTTCTGAAACACACAGCATAATGCTAGACATATGGTAAGTACACATGAAACAGCATGTGCACTGGGGCTGTCAACAGGGCTGGTCTTCCCCCTGGCAGTCCCCTCCCACCCACTGTAATTAAGGGAGAATGAGGCTGCAGAGACTCAGGCCTCAGGGACAGAACTTGGGGGTTTTGGAGCAGTTTCCCAAGAACCCACCCCCACCCTGGGGTGAGGCTGGAACCAGGCCCACCCAGGGCCCAGCCCAGAAACCCACCCCCGCCTCTCGGGCGTGCAGGCCCAATCCGTGCCCGGCCTGGTGCCATTTTTCCATGGGACTCTGGCGGTGGCGGTTCACATCTGGAGTCTAGACTCGGAGGCTCTGCGGGCCGGGCCTACCGCCCGGGATGGGCCACCGCGGCCCGCTGTTTGCTCAGCTGAAGCTGGTTAATTGGAATTAGAGTGGCCTCTGCGGTGCTGGCTGGCCGGGCGGGCCCTGGATGGCCGCTGCCGAGGTCTGTGGAACATCTGGCCCGGCCAGGACGGTCATTAGGTGGCAGGCGCCCGGCGCCACTGCCACCTCAGCCTCCGCCGGGGGCCGGTGATGACTCAATGAGGCCTTTGTGGACCCTGGGCCGCAGAGCCAACCACACTGTGTGCCTGGGCTGCCTGCCTCATCTGCTGCCCTCAGAGGGGCCTTGTTCCAGGACCACACGGCCTTCCCTCTGGAGGCAGTGAGTGGGAGAGATCCGAGAAGCCCCTGAAAGGAACCCACGCCCTCCATCCAGCCAAGAGGAGCCTCTAACACTTCCTACCCTTTCTTTCCTTCCCAGAGAATCCTAGGCCCAGAGAAGCTGGATGGCTGGCTCAAAGGTACCCAGCACACCAGCCACAGTGACTCAGGCCCAGGAAGTGGAAAGGGGTTGCACAGTCCTCAGGGAGCTTTGGGAGTTGGTTTGGATCGCACGAGGCCAAGTCCATGCCTATGGGCCGGCTGCATCAACCCTCTCATTTGTACCATGGGGCTCCTATTATCATCCAAGCCTATGACTGTGAGAACCAAGGGACATCCTCTGAGGTGCGTGGTACATGTAACAGCTCAATACCCAGCGAGGTTATTTCAACACTTCCGATTCTCTGCTCATCTTCGTCTTTTAGGCACCTCTGAACTGTCTGGAAGTCACTGTTATCTTCAGCCTTTGAACCTGAAGCTTGGTTATGGGAGTGCCCTGGGCTGGGAGTTGAAGGACTGAGTCTCGGTCCTGTTTGCAACCCTCTCTTGTCTATTTCTCCGCCCAGTCACCCTACACCAGGCAGGTGCACAAGGGCTGTGCCCGCTCTTCACTGGGGGTTCCCCTGCAGGCCAGGGCTGCTGTCTTCCGCAAACCTTGGGCCTCGATGGCCTCTCAGAAGTACTGGCCCACTCCCTCCCCACCTCAGTGTCTCCAGTGGCCCAGGCCCTTGTGCTGTGACCAGCATTGTCCCGAGGCAGGCAGGAGGAAGGAGATGGCTACTAGGCTCAGGACCCTTTTGGCCTTGCCGTAGTCGTTTCTGGAAGAACCTTGGGAATGACAGCAACACGGTCTCAACCTCTAGGGTGAAAGAGTCCAGGTGCCCTCCAGCTGAAGACATGTTGACAATGGGACCAAGGGAGGCTGACTCCTGCCAACCCGGGAATAAAATCAAAACTCTTCCCTGGGACCATTAAGCCCTACCCATTCCTCTAGCTTTACAGGAACTGATCCCTTTGCTGGGTGAGGTCAATGGTTTGGTACCAACCCCTCATCATTCTTGATGAGGTGGATGGAGAGGTGCCACATCCAGCACCTGTCCAGCACTTGCTGCCCCCTGGTGTTGTGAAGAAGACTGGATGGCTGGTGGGAGAGGACTCGTGAGCCCCCTCTGCTGGCCTGGTCTTCCTTAGGGTGCTGAGCTGGCACAATGGCCAGGCACGGGGTGAGCATCCAGAACACAGAGGCCCAGAGGTCTCGGCCTCCTCCTGGGTTTTGATAGTCCAGTCCCCAGGAAGGGGCTTACAGGGAAGTTTTTTTTGGGGGGGGGGCTGGGCAGTGAGAGCTAGTAGGCCCAGTGTGAGATGCTGGGTGCACAGAATCCAGAACCCCTCTGGGAGCACAACAGTTTGCCTGGGCACGGGATGAGTTTTTAATATGAGGCAAAGTCAGTCCACAATACAAAAATCTAAAAATCAGACCCACTGTTCCCACCTGGAACCTGCGGCAGTGGGGGAAGTGGGGGGCTTCCTTTGCCTTCAGGTGGTGGGGAGGGGCAGAGGAAGGCCAGAGAAAGGCCACAGGGCCCGGCAGCAGGGTCCCCGGCCCTCCCTCGAGTTGCCAGGCCTCTGGCGCCCTCTGCCTGCGCGAGCCTGTGCTGGTCTGTCCCTGCCCGCCTCGTGCGGCCCTCCGCGGGTCAGGCAGTGGCCATATCATTTATCCTTCTTCTCCTGCCCCTTTGATGGTGAGGCCTCTGTTCCTTCTTTGGATTCTGTCGCGGCTGCTGAATCCTTAGTATTTGACTCCTCATAACTGACAAAAAACACACACACACAAAACACAAAACAATAAAAATGACACATTTAGAGGAGCAGAACAGCAAGATCCTCGTGCCCCACTAACCATCCCACTGTCCCAGGAAAACCCCTGGGCTCACAAGGAATGTCAGCACCTGCTGTACCACCCAGCCTCCTCCAGGGTTTGTCCCCGCCCCACTGTGCACCCTCCTGAGACAGGCGGCTCTGCCTTCCCAGGGCCCTGTGGTGCCCAGTGATGCCAAGGGCAGTGCACACGGAGGAGAGGTTGGGCTTTGGCTTCTTGACTCTTCTGCTTGAGACAGTGGGGAACTGAAGGGGCAGCCGGGACAAGGCTGCGGGAGGGGGTTGCTCTACCAGCAAGTGGCAAGGCGCCACCTCGAAGGCGGACACCCTGGCTCAACTCTTATTCTGGGCTCCACTTATTGAGCAACTGAGTTCATGCCAAGGACAATACCCATATTTCCTCACCAGATCGGCCACGTGAGGCAGAATGCACCCACTTAGAGATGAAGAAAGAGAGACTTTGAAAGAAGAAAGTGACTTGCCCAAGATTATACATGTACAGCTAGTAACAGTCTCTGCTGCTCTATGACAAGGGCCGTTGACACCCTCTCTCTCCTGAGAGCCCCACATTATCGGTGAGGACGCTGAGCTCTGGGCTGCCCTGCTCCCCGGCCTGTCTCATGGTCGTGGAGGAGCTGCCCTTGCAGCTTGCCCCCGGCTACGGTCCCTACCCCGTTCGCTGGAGCTGGGGTGTCTGCCCTACCTTGGGCCCCGGGGCAGTGGGGGGAAGCGGGCAGGTGGGCACCCGCCGGGCATTACATGGCGCTGGGGTTCTGCGGGCGCCGGCGGCGAGGGCCGGCTAGCTTCTGCTGCATGGAGTCGGCCAGGCTGGCGGGGGAGCCCGAGACTGTGGGGAAGTGGGTGAGCCTCGGGGTATGAGGCAGGATTTCCGCGGAGGACTCGTAGCTGTGAGACAGACAGAGACACAGAAAAAAGAGATGGCGAGGAAAAGCCTACAGGACAGAGACTTCTCTTCCTGGGAGCAGGGAGCAGGTCTGTGTCTGTCTGTCCCTCTCTCTCCGTGCTCTCAGGCTCTCGGGAAAGAAGCCACTGTGACTTGGAGAGTGAGAGAGAACAGGTGTGCTGATACAAGGGGACACGAGGCAGCTGGCACTAGAGGTCTGCGGGCTTCGGGAAACACCCTTCAGACACAGTCGTGTGAAAAATCGAGACGCAGATGCTCTGAGCGCAACCTCTGCGCAAGAACATGTACCCACACGCTTGGTCTCAGGTGCAAAGATGTCTCCGAACGCGGCCACACTGAGAGAGCTGGCCCCTGGGGGTGGCTGGGGCACTGAGGGGCTGGGCCTCTCACGGAACTCCCAACCACCTAAGTGTGTTGCCTATTTGAAAAGACAAAGGGGGGAGTGCCAATAAACAGAAAGGAAAGCAAAACAAAGGGCGAGGTGGAGAATTAGGGAGAGAGACAGAAAGAGATGAGAGAGACCACCTACTTTTTCACCTCAACCTAAGAACCTCCTGAGGGGCGGAGGAAGGAAGGGGGCGCAGAGTGCCTCCACAGCCGGGGGTCCAGAGCTCGACCCCACTCAGACACAGCAGGGCTGGGCTGAGACTGGGTGAGAGCCAGAGGGTGAGGGCAGGCGCTGAGCTCGGGGATCAGCTCTCACCCCTGCCTCCAAAGCGCCCCCAGATCTGACACCAAGTTCACTTGTAGCCTTGTCTCGCAGTCCACAAGGCCTTGCCAGGCCAAGAGATAAGGGCAGTCAGGCTGGGAGGCTGGGGCCTCCGGGCAGGGCAGGTACGGGGGAGGGGTGAGTCACAGGTTCCCTTGGAGGCAGCCAGGTGCACAGAAGGCCCTGGCGGGCGCTCCTGGGACAACTCGGAGGCCAGGCAGGTGGAGCTAGGTGGAAGGCCTGAGTGGGCAGCTTCAACTGCACCTGGCAGCTATTTCTGGGTCCCTGGCAGGCGGGGTCAGTGATGCTGGGGAGCAGACACCTGCTAGAGTCACGCAGGCTTTGGGGTGTGGGTGGGGCTGTGCCTGGGGTGTGGCTGGTGTGCACGTGGCCACAGGGAAGGGGCAAGTACGTGACCGAGAGAAACCAGCTAACTGTGGGTTCCAGGCACAGGACACTTGATTTCTAATCGGGGACACCTCCCACCTTCCTGGAGGCTCCCCTTTCACTCCCGTGTGAAAGCGGAGGCCAGGGGAGGAGAAGGACATGCCTGGAATCACACACTTGGCGGCTCAGTTGGTGGCACCTCAGGAGGCCTGAGAGTGAGGCAGCCTGGGGGCTGGAGCGGGAGGGCGGACAGGGAATTCCCTACCAGCCAGTCCCTTCTCAAGACAGCTGGCCTCTGGAGACCCAAGTCCTTGGCTCCCCTGGCTCCTGGCCCAAAGAAAGGTTCTTGCTGGTGCCCACAGGTCATGCACCCACACACGGGTGGCGAGGGTGAGGGGGCGGGGCCAGTGGTGGGAACAGTGTTCCCCTGGACACGTGTGTAAACAGCCCCGGCAGGCTCCGCTGGCTGCCTGCAGGTGAACCTGTGCCATGCAAACATCTGCCCCGCTCACCTGAACATCTCTGTCACCTCTCCCTTGACCAGCGCCACCAGGACAGGAAAGCCGATGCAGGCGGGGACCAGGTACAGGAGGGCAGGCTGTAAGAGGACACGGGTGGTGAGGCGGTGCTGGGCAGAACACCTGCTGGGGCCCGTGCCCATCGCCCCAAACGTTTCCTGGGCACGACAGGGACAGCACTGCCCAGGTTCACCGAGCCAGTCAGCGGCTGGGCCTGCGTCCAGGACTCCCGATTCCCAGACCAGGCTGCTCCTCCCTGGGAGGGAAGGCAAGGAACCCAAAGAAACTCGAGTATGCAGGGTGTCCGGGAGTCCGGCGGGCAGCACCTCGGTCACCCAGAACATCAGGTTCAAACACGCAGCCCCCGGGGTCAGCCCTGTGCCCAGAGGCCCTCCTGCCCTAGGTCTGGCGCTGGAAGTTCGCATTTCAGTTCGAAGCCCGGAGCTCAGTCCACTGAGCCACACCAGCCAGGGCAGCATTTTAAACAAAAGCCCCAGGAAACGCTGGCACAACAACATGACGATGCTGATGACCCAGTTGCTATGGCTGGGGCACTTGCTGTGGCCTGTACCGGGGTCACCCAGCTGGCCGCTGGCTCTCCCAGGATTCATCACACCGGTGGTCTGGGCCTGAAGCCTGCGCTGCGACTCCACGTGAACTTGGGTTTGGAGGATAGCAATTGTCCCAAGGGCACTTGTTCACGGAGCGTCCATGTGCCCCGGAGCTCAGGACTCCCAGGGGGGTGTTCCAGGCCATCTGCGCACCCCTCGGGAGTGTCTTCCTCGTGCCCAGGAGGGGGCTGATGCTTTTGGAGGAGAGGGGACAGCCCCGGCCTCAGAGGGTTAAATGGACAACTGGGGGTCGAAGCTCGGGCATACCCGACTCTAAAACCATTTTTTTCCTCGTAGCATCTGAGAGTGGGATGGCACTCTGCTCTTCAACCCTCCATGGCCCCAAGGCTCTCGGCCTGAAGCCCCCACGAAGCCCCCTCCACTTCCACCTGACCACGCTGGCATCGCTTCGGTCCTCACGGTCACCTGCAGCCTCGGCACCTCCGCGTGTGCGGTCACTGCTGCCCGAGGAAGCCCTTCCCCCCTCTGCCTAGATCCCTCCTCCTTCGGACCGTGGCTCAGCTGGGGCTTCCACGGGGAAGCCTTTGCTAGCATGGAATCAGGACCTCCTGCTGCATACTCTCAGGGCGCCCTGAAATCCCCACGGCATGCTCTGTCCGTTCGGAACAGGACACCCCTGTGCCCCTGCAGACTGCAGCCTCCCCTGCTAGACTGGGAACTCCGAGCGGACGATGCCACAGGTTCTTGTTCACGGCTGGATTCCTGGCTCTCGGAAGAGGGCGAGGCAGATACTGAGCAAACGGTGTCTTTGTGGAGGCTCACAGAGTTAAGAGGATGTTTTGGAGATGACTGGGTGAGGAGACACTGTTCCTAAGGCCAAGCCAGCCCCTGGCCAGCAAGCAGGGCTCCACACACCCCCAAGAGTAACACTCCGATCAATTTTGGCAACTGTTTTTCTGGCCGTCAACCACAGCATTTCACATTAAATTAGCCCTGAACCTAATAATACCATAAACACTAGCATCTGATTTTCACAGATGACGCAGCACCTTGTCAGAGGTAACACGGTGTGTCTGTAAGTGGTCGAGCTCAGATTTGAACCCTGGGAGCTGGCCTCCTCCCACTACATCGCGTCTCTGCTACGAGCTAGGCTCTGAGCCAAGAGCAAGAGAACTCCTCACGACAAAGGTCCACACCAGTCCTCGTGAGGGGCAGCCGAAGCAGCGTTCACGGCCCATGGGAGGGGCTCTCTTGGGAGGCGGCGGGCTTGAGATTATCAGGACACAAGCCCATTACTTTCTTTTCTCTCAAGGCACCAGGGAAGATCTCCAAAGAAAGTTGTGCTGGAGAGAGGCTGCGATGTACGGCTCGGGGTGGTGAGCGGGGGGCCTAGGTCTCCTGGCTTTGCCGAGACCACGGCAGAGCCACGCGCACCTCCGTCTCTGTACAACGCGAGTACCCGATCACCTCTGAGGGCTGTTCTAGAAGGCTTAGAGCGGCTTTATTTTCCAACAATCCTCACTCGAAGACGTGCTTATTAACTTGGGGGGGGGGAGGGTGGGTGGGAGGGGAGGATGTGAGACACATGGGTCTGCTGCCTCCCACACGTGCCCCGATCAGGGATCGAACCCATGACCTTTGGTGTGTGGAACGATGTTCCAGCCAACTGAGCCGCCAGGCCAGGGCTAGAGTGGCTTTTTGATGGAGGTTCAGTGGGTTGGAGGCCGTGCAGGTAGGAGATCCTTACCAAGGGAACCACTGGCACTGGGACTGCCTGTGTCTTGAAGCGGGAAAGAGACTTCACAGAACAGCTCCCCTCATGTCCTGATCCCCTTCCCTGAGAGAGTTTCGGGGAGATGCCCACATGGGCGACTGGGAAGAATGGCTCGGCTGTTGTTGGGGAGCAGCATGGGCCTGGGCCCAGGGGACAGAAGTCCAGGCTCCAGCTGGGGCCGAGCTTGACTTGCCAGGTAACCCAGGAAAGTCTCCTTTCCTGTCTTGGCTACAGCGTCCCCCACAAGGAGAGGGCCACCTCTCCGGCCCCCACCCAGCTGTGGGAGGGCTCCCAAAGGAATCTACTCAGTGTCTGGCCATGGCAGAAGGCAAGCCTGCCACCTTGTGGCCGCCGAGGGAATGGCTCTGAGCTTTGAATCAAGCAGGCTGAGAGCTAGAGGACAGCCATCTAAGCTCCTTCCCCAATCCAGGCTCAGTCACTCAGAGACCTCCTTGCCAAGTGCAGGTGACTCTCAGCTTGCACAGACCCCAAAGCTGTTTAGACTAGAAGAGAATGAGAGGTGGCTCCCACTCGTTCTTGGTTTCTTCACCTATGGGGCAGAGGACCTTGGGTCTTCAGTAAAATAATCCAAGCATCTACTTCTTACACACTGTAGACATGTAAATACTGTAACTAAACAAGTGAGTGAGCAAAAGGGTTTACATCAGTGCCGGAACAGAGTAACTGCTCAGCAAGTAGCCCCTGTGATTGACCTGAAGGTGTCTCCTCTGTGGCGCGTGCCCTGGTGGGTGGAGGGGTGGGGAACGGCCACAGTAACGACAGCTAATACTACCTGGGAGGGGCATAATTCTCAGCACTTCACTTATATTAACTTATTTCATCCTCAAGCAACTCTAAGGTGGTTACTGTTATTTACCCTCATTTTCTGGCTTTATCCACCTACAGGGAAAATCAAGCGTAAGGTCAGCAGCCTGCCCAGGGGCCTGCGGCCAGCAGACGGAGGGGTCTGGGTTCCCACCAGGGCGGCCCCCGACACCGCCTTCCCCAGGACACAGGTTTGAATCTCAGCTCCGCGGCGTACTGGCTGTCTGGACTCTGAACTCCAGCCTCCTCATCTGTTCACAGTGACCCTCAGGAAGTCCCCAGCGGAGCCCGGCACACGGAAGTGCTTTTATTTCCGGTAAAGCCAGATTCTGTCTGCCTCCAGTCTTCCCCTCTGCAGGTCACACTGCCAACAGCTCCCAATTCACTCTGTGGCAACTCCACACCCACCCTGGTGAGACAAGGAGGCCGGGCCCGGCCAGCCTGCGGAGAGGCAGGGCCCGGCCAGCCTGCGGAGTGGCAGGGAGGCGCCCCGGTACTCCACCACTCATCAGGCAGGGCGGGCACTGAGCTGACACTCAACGCCCACCCCAACCCTATTCTGTCTCCCCCTGCAGATGCCGAGACGTCACACCCTCTCTCTTAGACTCCCTGCAGCTGGCGCCACATGACGCTGATCTGACCCATGAGACATGGGCAAAAATCTGCCTATTTATTTTAGAGAGAGGGAAAGGGAAGGAGAACAAGAGGGAGAGAGAAACATCAATCAGCTGCCTCTTGCGCACCCCCAAATGGGGACCTGGCTACAACCCAGGCATGTGCCCTGACTGGATTCGAACCCACGGCCTTTCAGTTTGCAGGCTGGTGCTCAATCCACTGAGCCACACCAGGCAGGGAGGTTTTGCCCATTTGATGAAGGCAAGAGGCGTGGCTGGTGTTGCTTTTCCTCTTTCTTGTCGTTAATTGTGTGCTGCCTGCATCATCTTGCAACCACGAGTGAAAGGACTAGACAATCAGACGTACTTGCTCTGACATCACTGGGTCACGCCTACCTATGTATATGCCAAATACACCTTGTTACCTGCACTGAAGCATTCCTGAGACACGGAGGGTGGCCCTGCTCACCTGGGCGTGCTTAAAGATGTGCATGATGAAGATGGTAAGGCCCAGGCCGAAGATGTAGGCCGCGAAGCTGGTGTAGAAGTAGGTGTGGGTGTTCTTCTTCAAGCTTCAGGGAAGGGGTGGGTGGAAAGAGAAGGGGGGTTAGATGCAGGCCTCCGTTCCGAGGGGCAGCTGGGGAGACCCTGCAGGCTGTGAGGTGGCTGAGAGCTCTGGACTGGGACAGCCCAGGGGCGGGCGTGCCCTCTGGAGCTGCCCCCGACATGTGTCTTTGGACAAGTCACTTTCCTTTGCCAGCCTCAGTTTACTCACCTGCAAAATGGGGACATCACAAGCTATCGCTCTGATGGCTGTAAATATCAAATGCTATGACCTAGCACAGTGGCTTAAGATTCCAGCCACCATAAAAAATCACCTGGAAAACTTGTAAAAGAAATACAGTGTTCAGGTCCAATTCCCTGATCTAACAGGTCTGGGGCCAGGTCTGAGAATGTGCATTTTGAAAAACCCAGGGGAATCTGGTACAGGTGGACCCTGCTTTTAGAGAAACTGTAAAGCTAAGCTGTTACTTTTAAATGCAAGCAATGCAAACAGTAGCTCAGTAACCCTCCGCGAACACTACGCAGATGTGGACTGACTGCATGGGCAAATGCCCGTGACCCCCCGGGGGGTGATTCATCCAAGACCAGCCTCGGAACAGCTGAATCACGTGCAGCCTGGCACTGCCAGTACACGACTGTCCTTTACAACACCAGCTCATGGCCTTGGTGTGTCCCCAGCACTTGGGACAATGCCTAGCAACACCTGTGAAATGGACGAGTACTTCTGACCCCCTTCTCTCCTTGCTCTGGCTGTTTCTAAGCCTTGAGCTCTAAACACATTGAGAGCTATTCTGCTATGAAGCCTGGGGTGCAACTGGCTCCGTTTGGGAATGTTGCACAAATTCTGGAACCAGCTCTAAAGGGCTTGCTTATCCTGCAAGTCCAGGCTAGGAGTGAGATTCTGCCTCTGAGGATACTGGCACCTGAATATGTGCCCCTGGCAAACGGTCCGATGACTTTTGTGGGTTTCTCTGTGTCACCTCTGAATGGCCAAGAGTAGAGCTAGATGGCACGGACAGGCCTCAACTTACGAACTGGCCAGGTCTTTCCAAAGGCCGTGTTCACGAGGTCCAGAGCAGCACTATGCAGAGGACCCAGACGGACTCGAGGGGAAAGGCTAAGTTTCATGTGCAAACTGGATGTCGGTGATGCTGGTACCGAGTTTCTCACTACCACCGTCAATGCAGTGACTGCTTTTGCAGTTACTGGGCACGAGGAAATGAAGCGCACACCCGGCAGCCCTCCACTGGGACGACTGAGTGCCACCTGCTGATTCCAGGTCCAGCTGCCCAGGTGCATTAACTCAATCTCGACCTTTCCTGTGTTTTAACTGGTGACTCAGGCTGGTCCCCTTCTCTCCCCTTTGTGCTCACTTTCTACAATGGACTGAAAATCTCTGAGTAAGGAGAGGGTGGGGGACAGCCAGAGCAGCTGGGCCATGGTGACCTGACCCCAGGCTGATAAAAAAAGATAATGACCGTGACTGCAGCTGGATTTCCCTGGAAGCCCCTGAGGTCAGCCTGTGCCCAGCACGCTACAGACCTGCTCAACACTCCTGAGGTAGGAACTCTTGTTTACCACTAACATACGGATGAGAAACCTTATCTGGAAAAGGTCAGTTCACTCGCCAAGGTCAGAGGGAGAAGTGCTATGTGTTTAAATTCTCTGGCCTGTGAGTCTTCACTTTTTTTTTCCTTCTTGCCACAGGCTCTTCGAACACTTATAACTTCAAAATGCAAAATGCAGTAAAATCAGAATTGCTCTGGCTGCTGTGGAGGTACAGGGTCTGGAGAACCCCGCCAGGGGAGGGCACCTCACTCATGGAGACTGAGGGTTCGGGGTCCTAGGTAGCTCACCTGATGTCAAAACGCAGGAGCAAGGCAATGAAGATTCCTGCAGGGAGAAAACCAGGGTTAGACAGCGGCAGGGAAGCCAGCACCTCAGCACCTGGGCCAGGGAGGCACCAAAAAACAACCGGGTCCCCACCCCAGTGTTCCCCATCATGGAGCAATCGATGGGGCCAAGGGAGCGGCCAGCACTGCCAGTCGCCAGCAGAAATCCTGTTCCTCTACCATCGGGCCTGGAACAGTAAGGTCCCGGGAGTTTGCTTTGGCCTGGGACCACACTGATCTGGCACCTCAGAGACCGTACTGCCACACTGGCCGCAGGGGGTAAGCCGAACCACTGCTCTCGGAGCTTAGCCACAGGGGCGCGGGCTGCGCGGGTGGAACCAGTAGTGTAAGGTTACGACAGTGACAGGCTGCTTCTGGTGTCCAGGGACAGTGCAGCAGGGGTAGCAGGGCGAGACCCAGGCTGGGGGGAAAGGGTGCAGGAGGGTGGGCTTCTTTGAGGAAGTGACACTTGCCAGGGAGAAGAAACAGCACGTGCAAAGGTCCTGAGGAAAGAAGGCTCGGGGATGTAGCAGGAGCCAAGGATAGCTAGTAAGGCTGCAGCCCAGAACAGGAGATGGAGGGGCTACACCAGCCATGCAGGGCCCGCGAGGCACAAGGAGGAGCCGGGTCTGTCCTGAGCAGGGGATACACCGGAAGAGCTCTAAGCGGGAGAACACTACACAGCGGTTGAAAAGACCCCTGTGGCGGCCGCAGGGAGAAAGAGCAGGAGGACTCAGGAGAGGGTGGTTAACTCTGCCCACCCTCTGCACCCCTATTTGCACCTCAACACCCACTGGCCACCGAGGCCTCGGTGTCCCTAAGACACACACTCCAGCCTCTGGATGTTGCACACACACGTGACCACCAGTCTGTGTCTCCCTCACTGGTCTTCAGGCTCAGCAGGGCAAGGGCTGAATCTCGTTTAGTTAAGAGCACGCTCTCAAGAACTGAAACATTCTTTGCTGATTAGAAGCACCAACTGGCAAACATGCTTAATTTCATATTTTTAAAAGAGATTTTACTTTTTAGAGGGGAAGGGACAGAGAGAGAGAGAGAAACATCAATGTGTGAGTGAAACACTGATTGGCTGCCTTTTGAACACCCCCAATCGGGGACCTGTCTTTTAACCCAGGCATGTGCCTTGACCGAGAATCAAACCGGTGACCTTTTGGTTGGCAGGCCGGTGCTCAGCCCACTAAGCCACACCAGCCAGGGCCACATGCTTAACTTTAAAGAGGGAATTAAGTCAGTTCCTACTGTAGACTGTGTGTGAGTAGGGAGTTGGTGAGTGGACAGGAAACCAATGCTGCCTTTCTGGAAACAAAGTGGGGAGTTGAGTGCCCTCTGGCGGCTGAATCTGTAACTGTTCTCCAATGGACCCAGGGGTCAGAGCTCTTCGAAGAGCTCTCACTATTCCTGATGCACCCAGTCCTCAAAACAATGCTCTCCAGCAACCCGTTCTTCTTTGAAGAGTATCACTTGGGCTCCGTGAGGGTAGAATTCACTTTCAGTTATCGTGACTGCTGAAAGACTTAGAGATATGCAGGTGAATACGGAAACACAGAGATGTCCCACGAAGGCCTCAAGCCCAGACTACAACCAACAAGGACGCCGGGGAAGCCTGTGTGGGGGCTGTGGCAGCCCTCACCGCACAGTGAACCGAATGCTTTACGGGACTTGGTTTCTTCTGCCTACTGGAGCCGCCTCTTCCTGGGGCAGCGCGTCTCCTGGCCCCACGGCACTGCAAGTCGTGGAAACACCTGGGTCCAAGACCACACCCTGTACGTTCCCAAGGCTGCAGGCAAGTCTCTTTGAACCTCGGTCTCTTCATCTGTGAAACAGAAATGCCGTCTGCTTCATCGGGCTGCTGGGAGTAGCGAAGACAACGTATAAAAAGTGCTGAGCATGGTGCTCAGCTAACGGTGGCCGCTGTGATGACCTTACTGCTGTAATGATGACTGTTTTAACCGCAGTTCTGACGATGTCACCTTTTTTGGCACTCACAGACCTGGTCTCAGTCCTGGCCCTGCCGCTTGCTAGTGTGTCCAGTTAGGGAAGTCCCCTCACTTCTGAGCCTGTTTCCTCAATGGCATGAGAAAGTCCCCACCTCACCATGGTGCGCACCACAAAACAAAAGCATCTCAACACCCAGGTTGCGAGAATCACTATCACTCCCTGCAGTGAAAAACAAACTGGCTTTTGAAGTTTGAAAGTTGCAAACTTTCTTCTTCTTTTTTTGCACGTATTTCTATGCCTTGTTCCCAGCTTTTGTAATTTTTATCTATCTATCTATGTATCTATCTATCTATCTATCTATGTATCTATCTAACTGAATTTATCAGGGTGACACTGGTTCACAAAACCAGACAGATTTCAAGTGTACAATCCATCATAACATCATCTGCACATGGTATCGTGCACCTATCACCCCGGCAAAGTCTCTTCCATCCCCCTGCCTCTGGTGATCACCACACTGTTGTCTGTGTCTATGTGTTTATATGTATATAAAACATACACGTGCTGTATATATATTAAGCACATGCACACATATAAAAAGCACATACATGTGTATATATATATATATCATGTGCACGCATACGTATGTATAGAAAACATGTTTCTGCGTAACCCCTTCACCTTCTTTCATCCAGTCCCCCAACCCACTCCCCTCTGATGGCTGTCAGTCTGTCCTCTGTGTCCACTCATCTGCCTCCTCTTTGTTACTTTATTCTGTTCGGAAGATGCCACGTGTGAGATCATATGGTATGTGTCTTTCTCCAGCTGGCTTATTTCACCCAGCACAATACTCTCCAGGTCTGCCCAGGCTGTCACAAAAGGTAAGACTTCCTTCTTTTAAGCAAGCACTAGAGTCCTTCGAACCCTCCGGGACTAGGGGAATGGGTACGCCCTCTGGACGTTCACTGGCCTGTTGCCAGGCCCAGATCTGTGGACACAGATGCCCAGACCTCAGGGGCTGCAGCTGCCCTTAGAGTGACAGCTCGGCTTTGCCCTAAGTCTCTCGACTGGTTGCTGAGCTGCTGGTGCCCTGAGAAGAGGCAATGTCATGTGGCCCCCGGGGAGCAGCATCCACGACCGGCCTGCAGATGAGGGTGTCTGTGAGCACACCCGCAAGTGCACTGACAAACACCCACATGTCGATAACGGGTTCAAGGGCCAGCTTGTATAGACGAGAAAGTGTGTGCACGTAGGCCTCCGCCAGGAGCACATACCCGGGCGCCCCCACGTTTACAAACACCGGGAGGGGAGGACCGAGAGGCCCTGGCAGTGTGGCGCATCTGGACGCTTGGGAACATCGGCGAGGGGAGTGGATGTGCGAGAGGGGTCGGGTTCTTTTCAGATCGCCATGAAAAGTGTTGTTTTTCTAAGTGTGTTTCAGTCTGTCAGGCGCACTTATTTATTTTTGTTGAGTAACATCTGCTCACCCCAGCCGGAAGCTCCGGGAGGACACTCTTGCTCACTGCTGTCCCTCCGGTGCCCAGCCCAGGGCCTGGCACTTGACTGGGGCTCTGTAACACGTGTTGAAGTGGATTCCTTCTGCAAACCCCGGGCTGAGCCAGGGCTGGGGATGCAGAATCGCCTTCCTCCCTCCCTTTCCCATGGGGTAAGGCTGCTTCACAGCACTGCTCCTCCATCCCAGGAACAAACACTCCCCCAACCCCCGCCCGGTCACCTGGAATGACGATATCGCCGAGCCCCAGCATGGCGAAGTTGTCCGCGTCGAGGCCCTTCTCCAGCAGATCCTGGGGAAACACCACTGCAGGGGGAGGCAGGGGGGCGAGGAGTTGGTGACGGCCCAGCTCACTCTGACCCCCAGCTCCCACCTCTGCTGTAGGGAGCTCACACAGCTGCATTTCTGGGTGGGGGGGTTGGGACAAGGAGATGAGAGGATGCTGAGAGGCTGAAGGGCAATGTCTTTACCTGAAACCACAGCGGGTACAGTGGGGAGACCCTAGCACCATCTAGGTCAAAGGCGCAATGTCTTTATTGAGCTATGTAGCAACGCAACCCCTTGGTGAAGTGGGACCGACCTTAAAGCCAAGTGCGATATATAAAAGAGCCCACACAGTGCGGATAGCTAATGGGCTTTCCAACTCAGTACAACAGGGGTCTGGACAGACAGGGCTGTTTGTTTTAAAGGAGGGGAACCTGGGCTATGGGTTCTTTCTGTGTCTGCTGCGGAGAACAGGCCACACCCACGAGTTCCTTGCTTAATGCCTCTCACCCAGAAACCCACTGGCGGACTTGTTCGGATAAATGCAGATTGAGAGGCACGCCTCACCAGGCGTCCAGTCATGGCAAGAGGCAGCCACCCCAACTGGATTCACCTCAGGGCCCTGAGAGCAGAAGAGCAGTTAGGTGAGGGCTCCAGGGTGGGAACCCTGGTTCTGATGTGTGACCTTGCACAGGTGACCTAATGGCTCTGTGCCTTGGTTTTGTTACCAGTGTAACAGGGACAACAGGAGAAGTGAGCCCGTAGGGCTGCAGAGAGCAGTAGAGGACTGGCACGCTGTTAAGTGACCGCCCCTCACGCCTTCTTTCCTAACCCTGTCCCACTCCGTGTGCGCAGCCTCTGCGGGGGATGGATCGAGTGTGCTGCAGGGCTCCAGCAGGACAACCTGGTCCCTGAATTCCTCACCTCCCTCGCTGCCTGGGGTGGTCACGTGACCCAGCTCAGCCAACAGTCGTGGGCAGAGGCATGCTGGGGGTCGTGGGTAAGCTGGAGCCGATTCTTTCCCTTCCCTGCTGATTTCTTCCTGCTCTGAATGCACAGTCAGAGTGATTTACAGGTCTTCTCCTTCAATCCTCTTGGTTCTGGAACCGTTCAATTCTCAGGGGCAGATATGGAAATCAGGGTCCAGAGAGGAGAATTCTCTTCCTGAGGCCTCATGGCCAACAACGGTCAGATCTGACATTCAAGTCCAGTGACTTCAGCACATGTGTGCTTAACCACTCTGCTATACGGCCTCCGAGCTCTACTCCTGGCAACAGAGGGCAGCTGGCCTTGTTCGCTAGCCAGAAAGCCAGACTCTAGGCACCAGAAACCAACTATGACAGAGCCATTTCCCTGTTCAGAGCCTTCCAGTGGCTTATCACTCCCTGCCCCTGGAACGATGGCCTTGGCTGCCCAGTCTGGCCTCTTTCCTGCTGCTCCCCGAAATTCAGTCGCACTCCCTCCCTGAGCCTCTGCTCCCAGGGCCTTCCAGTCTCCGCTTCCAGCCCCCTGCTGAAGCTGCACTCACTCTGCCTTTCAAATGGCCACACTGCCCCTGCAAGCTTGGGAAATGCATATTCATCCTTCACCACGACTCTGGGAGCTTTTCTCAGCACCTGGGCTGGGTTCGTCCACCGAAGTGCGTGGGGAACGACTGTTGCCCAGGCTTGCCCGGCATCTGGTCTCTTGCTCTGGAGAACTGTCCTCACTCGGCACCCTCGATCTGGGTGGCTGCTGATTCAAACACTGGGCCTCGAGGCATGGGACGGAGAACAGTGACCCAGGCCCATTCATCTGACACTCCATCTCCCCGACATGAGTGCCTGGCCCACGGGCCAGGGCAGGCCCTGTATGTTTGTTTAAGCCAAAGCTGGGAGAACTTGTTTCCCTCAGGGACCACTGAGCTGGGCGCACTGCCTTTAGGAGCAGTGTGGCCACGAGCCCTGCCCAGCTCACGGAGAGGCCCTGTCTGCAGCAGGGCAGAAGGAGACTGTGGGAAGGGCGGCCATTCACTGACCTCCAAGGCCCATCCGCTCTGACTGCTGTGAGCCACCGCCCCCCCACGGAGCTCACTCGCTGTTCACATCTTCCCACCAGAATCCTCCCCTTCCTCCTTCCTGCCATGCCTGCCTGGGGCAGCTTCGGATGTGGGTCTCCTGATCCCAGGAGGTCACTCTAGAATAGTTTAAGGCTTCAACGCTAAGCTAATCATGCTTCCCCCCACCTCCCTTGCTGACGAATGTTTGGATTTGGGCCTGTGACCCAGTTCTGACCACTGAAATACAAGGGAGGCTTTAGGAAAAAAACATTTCCCTTTGAGGAGAGAGACGAAGTTCCCTCCTTCTGCCTCAATGCTGGGAACTGTGGGGCCATGAAGGGATGAGTTTAAGAGGCAGGAGGGCATGCTAAGGTGGGGTGGGGAGCGGGGGGGAGGAATGAAATCACCTCGGCTCTGGGTGACTCCAGCGAGGGTCAATGACCCAACCTTGAGGTGCTTCACCAGTGAGCTTACTATCGTGTGCAATAGGGAAACTCCCACATTGTTTAAAGGTGCTTGTCACTCGGTTTTCTAATATTTATAAATGACAGATATGCTAAAACACGCAACCAGGGCAGCATGAGACACGTGGGACAGATGGTGCCCAACCGCCAGGTGCCAAAGGGGTCCGGCAAGGGCCCTGCACACCCTGCACACCCCGGCCCCACACCCACTCCCATCCCAGCTCAGCCCATGGCGCACTGTTCTGTGGCCGAGTGGCTGGGGGCCAGGACTTGGGGCAGAGGGTGGCTGGGTGTGAACACAGCCTGATGAATCAGTGAGGACAAGGAAACCAGGGTGGAGACCCAGGAGAGCTGAGAGGAGAATGAGGTACGTGGGGAGGAGCTAAGGGACGGGTACGACCAAAACAGGGAGCACACGGGGAAGGGCCAGTGGGGTGGCGGCAGAGGGGCTCCCCTGTGGGGGTGCTCACTTACATTTTATTGGTGCCTCAAAGGACCTGGCCACTGTCACCATCACATTGGTGCCAAACACCTAGAAGGAGAAGAGAAGAGTCCAGAAGGAGGTAGAGATGGGGTAGGACGGAAGGGCTGACCTCGGCTCCCCAACAGCCTGCTGTCTGGGATCTGCAGGGAGATGGCAGGGAGCTGGGAGGGGCTCCAGAGCAGATGTGAAGTTGAGAATAGCTGGCCACCAACACTGGTCATTTGGACCCTTTACAGGGCTCTTGGTTCTGGGCAGCAGAGAGGGGTGACGCAAAGCAGCCAGAAAGGGGCCTCCGGTGGCCCGGGCCAGGCACCTGTGTCTGTCCAGGCTCTGCCCTTCCTTTATCACCCACGTGAAGTGGGGAGAGGCTGCCCGAGGCTGGAGAAAGGCTGACCACAGTCCCACAGTGATGCCTGTTGGCGTAAACGCGGCAGCCCCTTAGCCCAGGGCTGCACGGCCAGAGCGTGCAGACCACGGCAGCCTGTCCTCACAGCTTAGTGCCCGTGCCGGCCCGTTACTGAGCATTAACCACCCCTGCCAGGGCCACCATGAGAAAGAGATGAGGGTGGCTGATGGCACTGGGCACAGGGTGGGCTCTTGACCGGTGAGGGACCTGCTTTCTCTTCCGTTTCGTGGATGAGGCCCACTGGGCCCACGGGGGACCTTCTCTGGGGCCCTGACTTCCAGGCCATGGCTGCAGCCCTCTGCCAGGTGACAGCTGCCCGGCCCGAGAAGGGGGAGGGCGGAGACTCACCCAGAAGACATCGTAGATGAAGAGGCCGCCCAGCAGGATGCAGCCGGTGCTGACGTTGTTCAGGTGCAGGAGCTCCACCCCGTTAAGGGAGAAGGCCAGGCCGAAGAGGTTGTTGGCGATCCAGTGCTGGGGACGGGGGGAGTGAGACCAGTCTGCCGTGCCCCTCACCCTGCCCCACCCAGTCCCCCACCGCTCCCCCGTGAGCCTCATCCCAGGCCCGGGCTACTCACCTTCCTCAACAGGTACCAGACGCCAACGATGCTGCTCAGGCCCAGGCACACCAGGTCCTTGGTGTCAAACTCATAATTGATGATGTCTGGGCAGAGAGGCCGGGTAAGTCCACTCCCCGGGGCGGGGCTGCCCCTCCCACCTGTCAGCCCCTGGACGGAGGAGGGCATGGCTGTGGGCACTGTCAGAGGCTCATAGGCGGAGGGTGCTCACGGGAGCCACCCCCAGCCCCTCCACTTTCCTAGGGGGAACGGATGCTCAGAGAGAACATGGGCCTATTGCTATGGTGTGCGGGGTCAGTGGGAGGGGCTGGAAGCACAGGGGTTGCACCTGCAGGTGGGGGACCCTGGGGGAGGCAGTTATCTTTCTGAGCTTCTGTTTCCTTATCTGTAAAATGAGGATCATGTCCCTTCCCTGATAGGCTGCTGTGGGGAGCAAGGGAGATGGCCCTTATGAAGTGTCCAGCACGGTGCCCGGTACGCAGTGGGTGCTCAATCAGTGCCAGATGCCACCGAGCCCAGGTCTTTAGCAAAGTCCTGTTCTTTTAGGAATCTTTCTATTTTGCCACCAAAGGGATCAAGAAGGCTGCAGGCAGCCCCAAGTCACCAGCAGGGGAGGAAAGTAAGAGATGGGGCCTGGAGAAAAAGCAGAAGGGAGTCGCCGAGTCAGCTCCTGTGGGAGCAATGTGGCAGAGACCAGTCTCCGCCACTTCCAAGGTTCCTGCTCAGGGAGCCCAGAGAGAGGTGGCCTTGCCCAGGGCCACAGGGCACGGCCACCTTGTTCAGATTCCAGAGTGTAGCAGACTGCTGCTCGGCCCCATTTCTGTCCCTTCCTCTGTGCTGACAGCACCCTGATGACTTCTATTTGGACACGAGGCCAGCCAGCTCCTGGCCACATTTCCCAGCTTCCCCTGTTGCCAAATGGGACTGTGACACAGATGCCTCTCCTGCCATGCGGTGGGCTGTGGAGTGACGCTGTGCCACCCCAGTCCCAAGGGCCACTGAGTGTGGCAGAGCAGGACAGGTAGAGCCTGGGGCCCTGAAGACTATGGTGCAAGCTTAGCCTTAAAAAAAAAATCAGCAATCATTTCTTGGGCGCAGATGCACCAGGGATGCGAAAAATGATCATACAAAATCTGGCCGCTCTTTAGGGGCCAGACAGAACGCGCGAGGGCCCTGGGAAGGGAGTACGTCGACATTCGCAGGCCCAGGCGTCTGTGTGAGAAACACCTGCCATTTCGTGGAGCCACCGACGGCCCGGCACCTGAACCCGCGTCCTAGCTGCTCTCCGAGGCCCAAGCTCTCTCCCCAGTGCTCTGTGCTTTTCACTTTTTAAAAAGCCAGGGCATCTCCCTGGCAAATTAGGTGGGGAAGTGATCACACTAAAAATACTCTCATTACACGATAAAAACAGCCAGGACAGTCAGCGTCTATATAGCCAGGCAGCGCACCGAATGCTTTCTATTTATTCATCACCTGCTTGCGTCCTAACGACCTGCCCACAGGGGAGGTAACAGATCATCATTTTTATTTTACAGATGGAAAAAAAAGCCCCAACAAAAACACCCAAGGCTCAGAGAGGTAAAGGCGCTCCCCTGGAGTCCCCTTGTGCCGGTGGTGGCACAGCTGGGAGGTGAGCCCGGGCAGGGTGACCCCAGAAGCCACCTCCTCCATTACTAGCTCTACTGTGGAGCCCCAAGGTCGGAGGGACAAAGAGGGTTGGGAGGGAGACACCCCAGGCGGGGGGCGGCGGGCAGCACTGACCTTCCTTGTTCTCCCCGGTGCCCTGCGTGAAGAGCAGCTGGTACTGCCGACTTGGGAAGCTGGCTGGAAAAAGCTTATTCATGAAGGGGCTGGAAGAAAAGACAGAGTGGATCGGCACATGGAGCCCCCACGAGCAGCCACAGCCCCGAGGGCCCCACGAAGCCCGTCCCCAGCTGTGATCTCCAGCAAGCACCCTCACAGCTCTTCTGGTGGCAGGTGTCACTGTGCCCATTTGACACATTAGGCAGCAGAGGCCCTCAGGAGTAAGTGACTGTCCAGGGTCACACAGGGAGCCAGCATCTAAGCTGAGACGTGAACCTCGGGCCCTGGGCTCTAGTGCTTCCATGCTGCCTCCTGGTCATCACCCAAGGAATACACACAGGCAGACTTGCACATAAAACACAGTTTCTAGGAGAGCAGTGGATTCCATGGTCTGGTCCATGCACTGTCTATATAAGAGTCCCTCCCTCAAGAATGCACATTCCTGGACTCCCTTCCAGACCCACTAAGTTAGATGACCTGATGGTCACCCTACTCCCTTGACTCGGGAGGCCTGAGATTTTCACAAACTTGTTGGACTTGACTGGCCAGGTGAATCACAGCCCCTAGGGCAGAAATACCCTCATTAACTCCAGGATGGGCTTGGCCTCTTCTCTCATTACCCAGCACACTCTGCTTCCTGGCCAGGCAGAGAACAGACTTTCTTTTCTGGATCACCTATAGGACAAGATGAGCGTATCAGGCCTCTTGGCCCAACCTGGTCCCGGGGGGTGGGGGGGTGGGGAGTGGGGGGGGTGGCAGAACGTGGCGTGGCAACAAGCATGGGTAGCCCAGCCCTGAAGCCTAACCCGCCACGCAGCAGCTGTGTGGCCCTGCATGAGTCCCTTTAGTGGCCTGCCTGCATGTGGGGATGCTACCACCTGTGTCAGGTATTGCTGGAAAGAGAGGGGAGAGGGCAGGGGAGAAGCCAGCTCCGCGCTAGACCCACAGCAGGGACGGAGGAACTGTGAGCTCCTTTCATCCCTGGAGCTCATCCAGAGCCTCGGCCTGAAAGCATCTGGCCCGACTGACTGACATGACTAATGAGGCAGGTAAATCCAGAACGGCGTTTCCGAAGACACGTAGAGGGAAGCAGCCAGGCGGTAGCCAAGGGCTCGGTATAAGGGCAGGGAAAGGGGAGCCCTCAGTCTAAGACCCCGGGGCTTGGAGAACGAAGACGTGGAGTTAAACAGAATCTCTGGCCTGAGTCTCCCCACTTTTCAAACAGCCAATCCCACCAGGTCTGCAAGGCCGTGGCATGACGAGACATGGCAGGCCTGAGGACGGAATCGGGTGTGGGCTTCCACAGCCGGCTCTGAGCAGGTGGGAGGTGGAGCTGGGATCAGTGAGACTGGAAGCTACTTTCAGTTCAGTTTGCTGCATCACTTTTGGGCAAGTCTGAAGCCAGAGTGTATGTGCAGAGGCAGAGAGAAGGCCTAAGGAACTAAGCCCTTCATTCTGGTCTGGCCTCTTCCTTAAAAGCTCAGTGCTTGGCTTCTCAACCAGTAGAATGCAGCGATTCAGAACACGGACTCTGGAGGCAGACTCCTGGGTTCGAATCCCAGTCTCCCACTTACTAGCTGTGTGACCTTGGGAAAGTTACTTAACTGCTCTGTGCAACGATTTCTTCATTTGGAACACTACAATATCTCCCTTATAGTCTTATAAAGAAGATTAAATGAATGCTTGGCACTCTCTAAGTTATTGCAGTTTCAACTTCGAGTATGAAGTCTCTACACTGGTATCTTTGGTACCCCCAAGAAAAGAGGGGCTGCTGGATAACACAGGGCGAGGGTCAGGCAACCTGGCTGGAACGAGTCTGAACTGGAGGCAGGGGGCCTGTCTCACCACCGCCACCCCGCCCACGCCACGCCTGGTGTGGGAGGCTGCTGGCAAACGCCTCACTGAACGCCTGGGTGCACACCGTTCTTGGCCCTCAGTGGCTCACATCAAAGTGAAAGGTCACTGCTTCCTGCTGGGAAGCCACATCCTGCTGCGCCCTCCCATGGGCACGGAAGGCACGGCCCAGTGACACCGGTGACATGGCCTCCTCTTCCCGGAGTGGCCAATTTTGGCTTTCAGAGCCTGTTTCCCCTCTAAAGCAGGGTCCCCAACCTCCGGGGCACACACCAGTACCAGTCCAGGCCTGTTAGGAACCGGGCCCCACGGCAGGAGGTGAACTTGGATGTAATGCACTTGAACCATCCCGAAACCATCCCCCCACACTCTGGTCCACGGAAAAATTGTCTTCCGTGAAATCAGTCCCTGGTACCAACAAGGTTGGGGACCAGTGCTCTGAAGGTCAGCTGGGTATGAGCTCACAGGTGATAAAAATAAGCTGAGGTTCGCTGGCAGGAAGGGCTCTGGCATGGGCTCGAGCCCCGGTGACTGTGCCAGGTGAAGGCAGGCGGTAACTGCAGGCGGCCCGTCGCTCCTGCCTTCCCCAAACCCCGGCCCGCGGTTTCTTTCCAAAGAGGACTGCAGTGGGCGAGGAAGTGGTGGCGGAGGTGGAAGGAACCCTCCGGGCCTTGGGGCCCGGGCCTTTCAGCCTTCCAGCAGGCCGCTCCCCCGCCGGTCCCCTGGAGGTCTCGGGCCCCCTGGGAGAGGGTGGCTGGGCGATCCCCTTTCAGCTCTCTCTTCCCCTTCACTTTTGCCACAACTGGAAAGAATACTGGCCACAGAATCAGACAGATCTGGGCTCAGAACATACCAGCTGCGAACCCTGGTGGCCTCTGGGTCTCGGTGTCTCTGTGTCAAACCTTCAGACCTTGTCGGGTCCTGAGGAGGGTTTGGCTCTATATCAGCACCAGAATTCCACCACCATAGACTTTCTTTGAGAAAGTATTTTACACAACTCGATATGACTGACGAATAAAGGTAAATTTAATCCTTGGACGGACTTTTTAAATAGCATGATCAAATTATGCCCTCTTCCTTTTTTTTATAACTAAATTATATCCAGCCAGTTCTTTTCCATGTAAGTTTCACAATAACAATTCCCTCCATCTTGCAGTTTCAAGTCCATGTCACATTTTTCAGAGGACAGCTCCGACCCTGTATGGCCACCACCTTTTCTTGCCTGTGACTATCCATTATTTTTGTAAAGTCTAATCTTCCCAGGTCACATTTTGTGCTCCAAATGTCATCAAGAAAATGACTCTTCTGATAATTTTTAGTCACTCACAAACATCACCATGTGCAGTTTTAACTGCTGTTGGTTCTATTTTGTCGATAATTTCTACCAGTACAAATTATGAATCTGTTAAAAGGCAGATGAACAACTGTTTCTTAGTTAATTCCCAACAAACTTGGGATTATGTTCCTTAAGTATTGTATGAAAGAAAAAAAAATGTCTTTGGTGTCAAAATGATACAGGTTCAAAGTAGTCTGCTTGGGCAGCGGGATGGAGCTCCCTTGCACGGTCGCTAGGATAAAAGCGACACCATCTGCCCTGGCTGGTGTGGCCCAGTGGATTGAGTGTGGGCTGCGAATCATACCTGGGTTGCAGGCCAGGTCCCCAGTGGGGGCCCCGTGAGAGGCAACCACACATGGATGTTTCTCTCCCTCTCTTTCTCTCTCCCTTCCCCTCTCTCTAAAAATAAATAAATAAAATCTTTAAAAAAAAAAGTGAAACCACCTGTGCCCCAGCACACGGCCCGCCAAACTACCAGGTGACAGTGGCTGTCAAAATACACTGGTTCTTTCCCTCTGTGAGGGAGGCTGGGCTGTGGGGAGGGGGAGGGGTCTCAGGCCCCTCAAAGATTCCGGGGTGGAGTAAGGAGCACTGGAGTGAGGGCTGGGGTGGGGGAAGACCCTACTCAGGATGGAGAAGGGTGGGTTCCCGGGTCTGGCAGTGACCTCCGGACCCCACCCCATCCTGGGTCCATCAGGGAGAGGTCTGTCTCCGAGGAAGCATGACTGGGTCTGTTACTGCCTTACTAGGGCCAAATCAGAGGTTCCTTTGACTTTGTGGGTGGGAGCTGGACTAGAACTCTCCCAAGTGGCTAGACTGAAGGCGGATGTAGCTGAACAACACTGAACTCAGTCAAAAGACAATTCGAGTCCCAGCTGTGGCCTCGGGCCGGCAGCTCACTCTTGGCCCACTCGGCACTGTGCGGCAGGCCTGGGTCTGGCCCACGCCCCAGCCAGGGGCGCTTGGAGGGTCTCCACCTTGTAAGCGGAAAAGCTGGTGCGCTGAGACTGTGCGGCTCACACAAGTACGGAGCCGGCCGAGCCAGCCCCGCTCCCAGGGCCACCTGCCTCTCGAGCTCATGCTCCTGACACACTGCCGGCCAGAGTGCCCAGGGGATGGGGCCAACTCACCTTGGCTGTCAGTGCCTCCCTGAGCAGACCCTGCTCTTCCTCTCTAGATTTCTCTCTGACCGGTACGGGAGGATTCTGACTGACCCTCAACACGCACGGCCCTCCAGCTCCTGGCCAGCCTCTTCTAGGTTTCCTCCCCTTCCAAGCTGAGTTTAAGTTGCATTCCTTTGTTTTGGGAATTGTTGCTCCTTCGGTTGTCCTCACCTGAGACAGCAGCGCTTCAAGGGGCCAGATGGAAACCAATGGGGTCACTTTTGTAGTTCGGCTCGGGGCGCAACTCCCATGTGGCAAGTGAGCTAGGGACACCGAATATTTACCATGCACAGAGAAGTGGCATGTCCAAAATGCCACCGGCAGTCCTGCCTGAGGATCACCGGTCTGGGTCCTTCATGCCCACTGCACTGACCCAAGATGTGGCAATCTGACCAGGTGACAGTGGAAAAAAGGATGGGCCCCGGGGCCACACAGGCCTGCCTTTGAATCTTGCCTCTGCTGCTTATCGGTTGTGTGATTTTAGCAAATTTAACCTTTCTGAGCTTCAGTTTCCAAAGTGTAACACAGGATTAAAAGCAGAAGCTAACCTAGTAAGGTCACCCGGCAGGTTAACACAACGGTAATAACGAGAGTTAGCGGTTACTGAGCGTACTCAGTACCAGAGGCTGTGCTCAATGCTTTCCACAAGACCCATGAGGAGAGGTGCCGCATTTTCCTCCACATTCAGGTGAGGAAATTGAGGCCAGAGGAATTAAGTAACTTGCCCAAAGTCATAGGGCTATTAAATGGCAGAGTCTGGAGTCAGAGTCAGGTAGTCAAATTCCAAGGCCTGCCCTCCTAACTTCTCACGGCACCACCCCTCTCGAGAACTAAGACCACACGTGGCTGTTGGCACAGTGCCGGGCGCAGTGCGCTGCAGCACCGGCAGGGGGCACTGGTGCTGCTCAGCTCAGGCCTGTGACAGGTATGACACCGACATCACTGTTTACAGATATTACTTTCCCAACAACCAGGGACACTCTTCTCATTCCCTATAAGGAAACTGTGGCCCAGAGAGGTTACAGTTCTTGTCCTAGGTCACCTGCGGTGTAAGATTCCCTTGGGTTTTACGGCCAGGATTCAAACCCGGCTCTGAATGACACCAAAGGTCATGTTCTCATCCAGGACCCTGTACCGGTTCCTGAAAAAGCTGCTTCAAAGGCTGCAGAGGTGCCTTCTGACCTGATGGTGTGGGACAGGGCCAGGATCCCCAGCACGAAGAAATACATGGACAGCAAGAGGTTGATGTACTCCTGGGAGAATATCTGAGGCAGAGACACAAAGAGAAACAGAGAGTCAGGGTCGCCGGTGGCTGTGAGGAAACCAGAGTCCCCACCTTCCTCTTCCGGAGGTTGGTCGCACCCCTCCGGAGTCCGCGCACAGTGTCAGGAAGAATCTCTGACAGCACGGAGGCCTCCTGGTGTCTGTGGCTATGGGGAAAAGAGAGGACCACCAGATGCACTCCCCAAAGGAGTCGGTGGGTTTGCGCTCGGCGGCCCGGTCCCTGGACTGCAGAGTCCCCAGGACAGCTGTCTGGACCTGAGAACGCGCCCTTCACAGCGTCCTGCTCCAAGGCCCCGAGCACGCTGGTGACAAGTCATCTGCACCCTGCCCCACGCTCCACACCCTGCTCTTCTGGACAGCTCCTCCCAGCTGGAAGTTACGACAGCCAGCCCCGACAGCCGCTTCCTGGTCTTACGGTGTGTTGTTAGGCGAAACTGAGAAACTGGGAAACGCTCTCTCTCACGGTGCTCCAGAACCAGCTGTCACCTGCAGGTAGTTCTAGGCTTCGGGAAGGCTCTGCCATGTTCAATGCCTCCTCTTCTGACTTTGCTATATGAGGGCCTCTAACCGGAAGGCAATCAGGTGCTGCTGGCTGGGCCACAGGGACACTGCGTACTCCGAGCAGGGCTGCTCTGGAGTCTGTTTAAATCTGCCCAACTGATCACGTCGTTGCTCCTCTGCTCAAAGCCTCTCAGGCACTTCCCCCTGCTCTCACAGCTCATGGCCTCCATCCTCTCAGACCCTCACCATGACCACCGCGGGCCCCCTCAGCTGTAGCTCCCCCTGTGCTGTGCTCGCTCTACATGCTGTCTCACGCTCTCCTCTCTTCATTCAGGCCAATCCTACTCACCATTCTCCTGCTCTCGGCTCATATTTACTGCCTACCACCTACCATGTGCAAGGCATTGTGCTAACCGTGGGGGATGCAGCAAGGAATAAGGCAGAAAAGTCCTTGCCTTCATGGAGTTCATGTGCCAGTGGGGGAAAAGGAATCTCCAAAGAAACAAATATGCAATATATTGTCAGGTGGTGAGAGTGTCAAGAAGAAAAGCAAGCAGGGTAAGTACAGAGAGAGAAGCAGGGAGAGCTGCTATTCAGATGGGTGGCTAGGGAAAGCCCCCCAACAGCACCACGCTCTGTCCAGGACAGAACCCTTACCACAGGGTGCAGCTGTGAGGGTATGTGGGGGAAGAGCATTTGAGGCAGAGGGAAGGGTAAGTGCAAGGGTTCTGAGGTAGGTACATGCTTCTGTGTGCAAGGAACAGTTGGGGCCTGAGTCTGAAGCTGAGAGCGTGAGGGGAGGGCATCAGGAGATGAGGCTGGGAAGGAGGAGGGAGACAGACTCTGCGGTGCTGTGGAAAGTCTTCAAATCTCTCTGGGGGAGAAAGGCTGGAACTGGGGGGCTACGATGCGATGGCAGGAGGGTCTGTCTGCTGCTGTGTGGGAGACAGGCTGCAGGGTAAAAGTGAAAGCGGGGGTGGGGGCGGTGGTGGGGGCACTGCGTATCTGGCAGAGGGAGGATGGCGCCCTGGGCTGGAGGGAGGGAAGCGACACAGCAGCGGTGGGACTCCACACCTGTCTGGAATTGGAGATGCAGGGTGTGCCCCGGGGCTGCCTGTGAGGGCTGGGAAGGAGCAGGGAGCGGGATGGCTCCCAGGGTGTTTGGCTGAGCCGTGAGGCGGACGGAGGTGCTGCTGTCTAATATGGGGGGGGGTCTGGGTAGGAGCAGGGGTTCACCCCACGATGGTTCTTCTGCTCTTTTCTGGGGCTACAGATTCTGCCTTCACAGCACTTCCCAGGACTGTACCTTGCCATTTACCTATGTGATTATTTAATGGGGGTATGTCTCCACCATTTAATACAAACTCCTTGAGGGTTGGAATGGGTGGGCTGTTTTTCTCACTCTGGTGTCGCCAGCACACAGCACAGGGTCTGGTGTGTGGCAGGCACTCAATAAATGTTTATGGGAAGAGTGAAAGAAGGGATGAGCAAATCAATTGCCAATAGAGAAAAAGACCCATGAACACAGGCGTGTGGACTGCATTTCACTTATGATGATGTGGGGTGCCTCTCGCCTAGTGCTTTGCAATGTGGGCCCTTGGGAAACTGCTCTGTGGCCGCCTCTTTGAGCGTCTGGTTGGCCTGCCTGTGTGCCCAAGTCTCGCTTTCTTTGTGCCCCGGCTGCCAGAAAGTTTAATTTTTATGAGCTGTCTCAAAGCACTCAGTTCTAGAGGAGAAGGGAGAAAGTAAACTTTATGACTTTAAGAAATGTTACAAACTCCAGTGCGGCACTCAGGAGAGGAGGACAGGGGCTGCGGGGGCCACCCGACCAGCTGTCGGTCTGGAGCTCAATAGGAGTCTGGTGGCTGCGTTGTCCAGGCAGCTGCCTTTCAGCAATGCCAACATGGCTGTTCTGGAGACATGGGGAAGAGGTATGGTGTGTCCTCTGGCTCAAGGCAGGCTGGGCCTTACCTGCCAGGAGAGGACGGCAGGCCGAGCAACAGGCATCCAGTGCCTTCAACAAAAATGTGCATACCCTCCGTTGCCAGAAATCCCTTTCTGGGGAATCTAGCCTAAGGAAGGAATCCTAAACCCTAGAAATGTTAGAAGATCTTGAGGCAAGGGCCTGGATGTGTATTCCTGGCAATTAGCACAGCAAAGACTTGAGAAGTATCTGCTAAAAGCCAAGTCAGAGGCAAGGGGCTAAATGCACGCACAGCCACAGAGCGATCTCAAAAGCACAGGGGAGAGAAAAAGGAAACAGGGGAGATGCAGCGGCCAATTCTAGTTACGGAAACTGGACTCTCATTCAATACACACGGATGCGCCAACGGCATGTGTTTCATAAGGAGACACGTCTACGGACACAAACCACTGGGGCAGGTGCCTCTGGCACGGAGGGAAGTCGGGGTGAAAGATGGAGGTGGGCTGCAGGGGCCGAGGGGAGAAAAGGCAGGGAGGGGGGCCTGGCATGGACTGATGACGGCGTGCTTATGGACCAAAGCACTTAGTAAAGTCAGCGCTTCCCCCGAGGTCCAGGGATAAAAACAAAAAACAAGCTACGAACATCTACTGTTACTCGATGCACTCTTATTTATTGGTAAGAGTGAAAAATCAGAATGATTTTTTTCTGTGTGAAGTGAGGGGGATGACGGAAGTCAACCATGGCTTTCTGCTTGGCGGCAGAGACTGAACCCATTAAGGAGAGTGGATCTGACCCAACAATGAAGGAGCAATGGAATGGGGAACGGGCACCTGCAATTCCATCTCTGACGCCCACGAAGACTGGTAAGAACGAAGACTCGGGATGCTGCCCGGCGCGGGAGGGAGCCCAGGGAAGCCAGCACCCCTGTGGCTGTTAGAGGGGGTGTCAGCTGTATGAGCCCTCTGGAGGGACGTGCCACCGTGTGCCCAAATTCCAGGTGCGGATGCTACCCGACGCTGCAGATACACTTGTAAACATGTGCGCGTCCCCACAGATGTGCACGCAGACGGCCCTGGCAGCACTGAAGCCCCTCGGGGCACATCCGTAAAACAGAACTACGAGCACCCGTGAAAAAGACTGGGCTAGATCTAACTGTCCTGATACAAAAACAGCTCCGTGGTAAGAGCTGTATGTTTGAGACAGGTATTTATTTTTAAATTTTAACATAAACATAGCTCTATACATAAAAGTTCACAAGAAACTATATCGAGGACAGGATTATGGCTCATTTGCACCTTTCCTTAGATTGAAAAAATGTTTTTAACCATGTACATAATATTTTTAAAATGTAAAATATAGGTTGTCCTTGAGGAATTTTATTTCATCAGGAAAAAAGTGCTTGTGATGTACTATCAAAAAAAAAAAAGACACAACAATACAGTTAAAATTATTATTATAATTATGCTAAAAGTATGCTTATTAGAAGCCTGAAAGAAGATAGGCCAAAATGTCATAAGGGATTACCTTTGTGTATCTTTCCCTCCTTTTCTTTAAATTTTCTGTGTATATTATCGTTATAATGAAAAAATAAGACATGTTAGCCCTGGCTGGTGTACCTCAGTGGATTGAGTGCAGGTCTGTGGACCAAAGGGTTGTGGGTTCGATTTCCAGTCTGGGCACAGGCCTGGGCTGCAGGCCAGGTCCCCCAATAGGGGGCATGGGAGAGGCAGCCACACGTTGATGTTTCCCTCCTCTTTCTCCCTCCTTTCCCCCCTCTCTAAAAATAAATAAATAAAACCTTAAAAATAAAATAAAATAAATAAGGCATGTTGCATTAAAAAAAGGTTTAAGGAAAGTTTGCAGTAACATGAGAAAATGCTAACGAGGTTGTCAACGGGAAGTGGAAAAAGAGCAGCCACAGGCTGACTACACCACGTGGTCACAGTGGGGGCAAAACCATGCACGGGAGGAAGAGTGGAAGGACACACCTCCAAAGGGAGTCTGTGACCGCCTCTGGGAGTGGGGTTTTGGATGACTGCTGTTCTTCCCTTTTTACTTTTCCCTGTTTTCCAGGTTCTCAACACTGAGCCTGTGTAACTTTTATTGGGAAAACAGACCTTGATAAATTTAAAAAAAAAAAAAAAAAAAGCGCAATTAGTATGGCAGAGGTATGTCTGAGACACGCGCAGCCCCCACCCCTACAGGAAGAGCGCTGTGAGACCACACGGGCGTCACGAAAGCCAACGCAAGCTCCACACCGCAGAGAAGACCGGGGGTGTGGGGGGGAGTAGGCCTGGACACGGTGGCGGTGGTCTCTGGGTAGGGGGTCCAGGGACGAACTGTTATGATTTCTTCCCTGCTCTTTGTTTGCTATAAATAAACGTGCATATCTCCTCTGATGGGAAAGATAAAGGAAAAAGTTACTGAGACCCAAGGATACAGCAGGCGGCGGAGACTTACTTTGAAGAAGAGGTAGAGCCCCAGGAGTGTGCAGCTGGCGATGATGGGGAAGCGGGCGGCGTCACGGCTGGTGATCGTCTCAGGCACGTCCGAGGCGTTCTGGAGGGGAGAATGTGACAGCCCTATAGCTCCACCCCCTCTGAGCCCCAGTTCCATTAGGTGCCTCAGGGGGTCCCATGTTTTGGTAACTCAATGCTGCTCCCTCTGTCAAGGGTGCTGCCCAACCACCCGCTCTGGGGCCAGATGCTTGATCCTACTTTTCTGCGACTGAGGATATTTGACCCCAACAGGGGAAGCCCAGGGAGGACCTCAAGCACGCGTGGCGCAGCCGGGGAGAAGAGCCACGGCGGAGAGGCCGTGACCAAAAGAAACAAAACCAAAACCCCTGAAAACCGGGAACAACAGAGTTGTCTGAGAACTCTTCCCAATTTTCTTATGGATTAGCTATGAGGTAAATGTGATTAATCTTTTGTATCCAGTAGGCAGTGAATACTGAGGGGAAATAAACCAACGACAGACAAAACTGGCAATGGCTGAACCCGCATGGGAGAAGGCCCCAACAGTGAGAAGCGAGTCCTGACCACGCTTCAAACTTAAAGAGATTTGGGAGAACCGAATCTGGTAAGAGTGAAAGCCACACCTAAATTTACAGTGGTAGGTGCCATGGTTAGCAAGAATGTAGTCTGGTTAAGGAGCTGACAGAGGATATTTACATGAAAAAGAACCGAATGCAATCAAAATAATGTCGGTATTATAAAAATGGAAATAGACTAATAGTGCAACACAGGAATTAAACACGGGAACTACAGAATTCATAGCAATAGACTTGCGAGTGAAAACCCACCGGTAGCAGTGCCTTAAAAACCCAGAGCAGGAAGCTTCCGGGGCCAGGGCGCTCCCCCTGCTCTCTGCCAGGCAAAGCCCTCCATCCACAAGCACCTGGCAAGCATCACCACCATGAAGCTTTTCCAGATGCCTCCACCAGGATAAGTGTACTTCACAATGGCAATTCTCACTGCACCTTATGTCTGATCCTATTTCATGATATAGCTAATGAAAGCCCAAGCAACACCAGGTTAGACTTCTGTTCAAGCCAAAGAGCAGTTCTGGCCACAAGAGCCACAGACTCATCCCAGTGCCGGAGATTTCACCATCACGTCCACCCTGTGAATCAGCATCCCGGGGAGAGAAGGGATCATGTTCAGCTGCAGAGTCCATTAATAACTGGCTCACAGATGGCTCTTAAAAACCAACAGGGCAACACAGCTAAGGGGGTGACTGCCCAGAGAGGTTGATTTTGGCCAGGGGCGGCTCTCATGCACCACGGTGGAAGGCTGCAGAAGGGGAGAGAGATGGGGGAATAGCGCAGGAAGCCCATAAAATGGTCACTAGGAGACGGATAGGTAGGGAACTGGGATGCCTGCATGGCGTCCGACTACAAAGACTGGTCCAGCCTTTCGAGGAGGACAACGTGGCAGGTGTGTCAAGCCGTAACCTCCATGTGCTCCAGATACAGAGAGATTTATAGAACATGAAGCGCAAGTGCCTCCTAATCACAGGAGAGACGTCCATCCTCACTCCAAACAAGAAAGCTCAAATCACAGCACACTGAGATCCCACTTTCCATCATGGAACAGCCAAAACCCGTGTCTGACAATGCGCTGAGCTGGCGAGGCGGCGGGGGCACAGGGGCTGACCCACCTCCCGTCAGCAGGGCACTTTGGTCTGGCTGTGGACAGCACGCTGGCAGTAGCTGTCAGAATCACCAACGCACGTGCCCTCTGACCAAGCAACTCCACTCCCGGGAATCTTTCCTACAGACATAATTCACACTTGTGAAAATGATGCATATAAAGCGCAGCCAAGGCATTCGCTGTTCTCTTAATGGCTTGCTGGGTGACAGACAAACCATTTACTCACCTGTCAAACAGACGACAAGCTCTAGTTTTACTTACATCTGAAAGGCCAAGGGGCTCAAACCAAACGAGATGCGGGACGTTGAAGAGCCAGCAAACTGTGCAGTGTGGTGACCTCCAGGGGCTGTGACTAGCAGGGAGGCAGGCCCCCTCCATCACGGCCCCACGAGGCCCCGGCACAGGGAGGAGCTCCCCTCCGGAGCTTCCAGAGGTGGCTCTGCGGGAGTCAGTCTCAGGCAGCCTCTCGGGGAGGTGGCGGAGGGGTGGGCGGGCACCACTGACACAGAAGCCTGGCTGTCTTCCTTCCCTCTCCTCTCTCAGCCCCTGGATTCTGCTTTTGGCAGGAGTGTGCTGGGGGGCTTGGGCAGGCTTCTCGCCCGGCGTGTGCGCCTCCACAAATCCTGTTCCCTGTGCGGCAGCAATGTGAGCACCAAAAACAAACAAAAATGCACTCCCCCCCCAAACTAGCTCCTGACCTGGAAGAGTTCACAGGCAAGCAGGCCAAGATCTTAAGAGCAGACAGAACGTCACAATACACTGTGACACATGACAAATAAGACATGTCTGCTGCTGTGGTACATGGTACTGGTGCCACAGGGCTGAGAGAGGGCTCTGATGTCAGAAAGCCCGCTGCCTCCCCAGTGGTGGGGCCCGGGGGCGATTCTCTCTCGGGGCCGCAATTTCCTCCGCTGCAATATGAGTTGTCAAGAGTCTGTAATTTCTGCACTGGAAGCATTTAGTGCTGTGCCTTGAACTCGGCATTCGGCTGTATAAATGGGCTGTATTATTATTGTGTACGTGGAAATCACGAGAGAGCAAACAGGACGTACTCCGGCACGGAAGTAGGGGAGTGTCAGAGGTGGTTGGGGCAGATGCCACCTCAGCCAGACTTGGGAGGCCAAGCACACAGCTGTGAAAGCGTACGGGGGACGCCGGCTTCCCCCGCCAGTCAGTGCTAGGGCTCACGGCCACATACTCCTTTCACTCCAGCCCAGTATCCCAGGCGGAAGAGGCTTAATATTATTTGATGACAAACCGAGGTCGAACAGACACGCCAGCAAACGAAGGAATCGGTTCTCCTCCGCGGGCGCCTGTTATAAACACCCCATGCTGGGATGCTGAGTCAGAACGGGAGACCTGACATCTGCCAGACAGCAACGGTAATGAGGCTGACATTTACTGCGAGCTTCCTAGGGGCCAAGCACTGTTCTAGGCGGTTTACACGATTTCATCCTCACAAAAACCCTACGGAGCAGATACTCTTAGTAGCCCCATTTTGTACACGAGAAAACGGAGGCCCAGAGAGGTGCAGTGACTTGCTTCAAGGTCACACAGCAGGCAAGCGGCAACGCCAGGATTCACACCGAGGCTGTCTAGTCCCAGAGCCCAACCTCTGGGCTGTTATCCCCTAGACTCCCTCTGCCTTCCCCATCTGGAAATTTCTGCTGGACAGTTGTGACTAAATGCTCAGGGAGCCTGAGACCTTTCTGAGGGACAGACTCCTGACAACAGAACAGTTAATCTTCATAGTTACAAAAATACTAAATGTTGTTAGGATTCTCTCCTAATTCAATCTGGATTTTTTTAAAAAACCAGATGCTCCAATGCTAATGCAATAGCTCTGACACACGGAATGTAATTACAGAGCAGTGGAGGGGAAGCTGACACATACAGCAGAAACAAATTCAGCTTCCAGGGACACTCTGGATGTTCTGTTTCCAGGGCAGGAGCAAAAGCAGTGAGGGAAGACAGAAGCCAGGCTTCAAGACACTGGTTCAGCGTGAGCTTGGGGAGCACCGCTTCTAGGCCATGCCCCAGAAACGCTCTTGGGTTTGTGGACTGTTCTCCGACTGTTGCTCCAGCTACAGATCCTGGAGTCTCCTCTCCTTACCACAGCATTCGCTCGTTCACCCTGCCAAAGTTCCGCTGCCTACGCATTCCCGGTGCGGATCCCACATCCCAGTCCTCTGCCGGCCCCCACCTCACCTCACCAGCCCCTTTTCTTTCTCCCTCCGGGAGTGCCTCCCTGCCAGGAGTGCCTTCTGAAGCTTAGAACTGACTGTATCACATACCTGCTCAAAAAACCTCTGGAGGATGAACTATTAAGCAGCTACTACACGGGAATTGAGGTCGCTGCTGGTAGGAGCGTAAACTGATACAACCCCTATAGTGGATAACTTGGTGAAGTTAAACACTCACACTGCCTTTGACCCAGTAAATCAATTTCAAGGAATTTATCCTATGAATACACAGGCAAGTGTGAAACAACTGTGCGAGATTAATTTCAGCCTGGCTCACAACAGCAAAACACTGGCTCCACCTGAATGCCCAGCAGAGGACTCTAAGTCAGGGTTCTCCCATGTGAGCACACGTCAGAACCCCCAGAAAGACGTGTGAAAACAGACTGCTGGGCCTGCCTGAGTCTCTCACTCAGATTTTGTATTTCTTACAAGTTCCCACCAGATGCTGACACCGCCAGCCCAGGTGCCACACTTTGGGGACATAGGGGGGACACCAAACAGCTACCAGAGGAGAACACGACCACTCCATAAGTACCAACATATTTATCACCAACGATAAATTACATTTGCTGAAGAAAAGAAAGGTGCAAAAAAGAAGTGTATGTATAACAAAATCTAAAAGCTGTGTAGTACAAGCGGGGAAAAGCCTGGTCATTTATTTGCAAAGGCCCAGAATCTCTTGGATGGTTATTCAAGAAATGGACAACGGGGTCAGCCTCTGGGGAGGGACTGGGCAGCTGGGGTGGGAGGGAGACTCCCTGCGCACGCCTCCGTTCTTCCAGAATTCCACACTGTGGGCCCACACCACCACCCTCCGGCCACAAAACGGTGAGGTAGACCCACGCATGCTGACACAGGGGGACAACCAAGACATTGTTAAAGGAAAAAAAAATTAAACTGCAGAAAAGTCTGCTCTATAAAGCCTCACTTTTATAAAAATAAACTTACATACGGTTACACACACAAGCACATACATATGTTTGTATAAACAGAAACAGTTCTGGAAGCTTACACACCAAACAGTGTGTATTTCCAAGGAGTGGTACTGGGGGGGCTTTTTCTTTATGCTTCTGCACTGCTTGGTATTTTCCAAGGGCAGTAATTCTGTAATTACGAAGGCGAACTGTTGTGTTGCCTTCAGCATTCAGTACCTCAGAAAGCCCCGAGCATCTTCTTGTTGCTAAATCCAAGCCCCGGGCCTGGGCTCACATCGCACTGCTCCCAGCTTCCCTGAACACACACACCTTGTGGTCCAGGCCCCGCCCCCTCTTCCTGTTAAGCCTGCTGAACTCTCCCCTATCCACACAAAGACAACTGCTGCCAACTCTGGGAGGCACATCAGCATTCACTTTGGGTGGCCGGTCACACATCTGTTTCTCCCTGGTGACTGAACTCTGTAAGGGCAGGGCTTGGCCTTCACTGTCCCCGCACCCCGGTGCCAGCCCAGCACCCAGTCTCGTTGGCTGAGGGGCTCCTCTGAGTTCCATGCCGAGGGCCTTTGCTGCACCTGGGATCTGCTCCTTTCTGGGAACATGAGTCTGATGGGGTCAGGCACCCTCTAAGATTCCGCCTCCTGTGCTACTTCTTCCTAACACACTCCTGGATACTCCGCTTTCTTCTCCCCATGATTTCACAATTCTTCCTGCCCGTCATGGACAAGTTGGCCCCAGGGAGAATTCTGTCCTCACATGCCGTTTCAACTGGCTCTGGGGTTTGCCACTGGTGGGAAATCCAAACTCTTGGGACCCCGTGCTGACTTTTCCCTCTCCTCTTGAGCTGACCAGGGGAGTACAACTCAGGGCAGAAAAAGGAAGTCATCTGGCCTGTCCTCTCCCTAGGCCGCTATGTCACTTATGTATCACTTAGGGGCACCTGTGTATCAAGAAGAGCGCCCCAGACTAGGACTAGTGACACCTGGTTCAGAGTGATTCTGAGAAGTCATTTATTTGACCCTCGATTTCTTTCTCTTTACAATGGGGATAGTAAAGTTGGCTCTACCTGTCACACTTGGTTGCTAGGAGAACTGAAGACAGCAAAGGCTTTGTAAATTTTATGCTCTCCTAGTGGTGGGAGGCTACTAAGGATCATGCCCTTTGCAACTTACTGCAGTCTTCCAACCCCTGCAGACCCGAAAGAGATGCTGGGGGTAGGGCGGGGGAGGTGGGGAGGTTATTTAGATCTAAATCTCTCTTATGTCTAGACCCTCTGCTCCAGCAACATCACCTTCTGCACTGCCTGACACTCCTGCTTACCTGGTTTCCTCATTCCTGGAATGTCTTCCACATCCAGGCTCCAGCCCTGCTTCAGCACAAAACTGCCCTGCCCTGCCCTAGGTGTGTTCAGCCTTTCTCTTGAAACCCTGAGCCCTGCCTGTATTACGATCACAGATCTGGTGGTCCCTCCCTCATGCAGACACCTAAACTCCCTGGTGACAGAGCTCTGACCCACTCATCTCTGCAGCATCCCCACAGTGGAGACAATAGTAGAAGTTTAGGAAACTTTACTGCCTGGAAGGTGTTTTCTAAAGAGATTAGTGATCCATACGCAGAAGGTGCCAAGAATCACTCAGTTTGGGGAGCCCCTCAGAGAAACTGCCCAGCTTGCACATGCTGCCCCTCACCTCCTCTGTTCCGGTCTGTCTCAGAATTTCTCCCTGCACCATGTGTCTGCCTAAAAGGTATGGTAGGGAGGTTGAAGGCCACTTGAGTTCTGCTTAGAAGAGGCAGAAAGGAACAGTAAATGGGGCCACCTAAGCCCTTCCTGACTACTCCTCTCCGCATCTGACCACAGAGAGCGCCAGCTGTTCAGTTCTCTGATTTTGGGGAAGGAAGGTGGCAGGCCTCAGCCACTGCTCAAGTTGGGTAATGTTTTGAGAACGTGGGTTTGAGCAGTTTCAAAAGTGGCAGCTGTTTTGTGGGCCAGCCCTCTTTGGGTAGCACAGCTTCCATCTGAGTTCAGCTTCAGGTTTGGGTGGGGAGGAGTTGCAGGGAGCTGCAGATCAGGAGGCTGTGGAGGAGGGGATTGGGTACCAGCAAGTGAGAAGCCATTGGCTTAATATAGGGAAGAAGGATGGGGGAGGAAGTGGAGAGGTGGAAGGTGCTAGAGTTCTCTTTGGTATCCAATGAGACAGATGTTGAGGAGGGCCAGGTATGGGGCCTGGCCCAGTCCTGAGAGGCCAAAACAGCTCAGTTACTGGCTGGAAGGCCCAATTTGGGGGAGACTGTCTTGGGGGCATGGGAAGAAAGGTGACTTTGAGGTAGGTTCACAGCCTGTGGTGGGAACAGGGTTAGGGATTAGAACAGGGTCTGGACTCAGGAGCAGAACAGGTAGGACAAAGTTGGCTGCTTGTCAGGTGGAGAAAACCAGCCAAATAAGGGGTCTTTGCCTGGTTAAAAAGGGAGGCACCAAGGTGCCAGGTACTGAGGGGCTAGTTGATTCAAACTGGTTCCAGACAGCGAGGTGAAAACCCGAGGCCATATTCCTGGGCTAATTTTTGTTTTTAATGCAGGGGGAAGGGACTGGGGATTCTGGGAGAACATACTACAAGCCATTGATTCCAATTAGACAGGTGTAAGAGTCTAGGGAGGGGCCTGGATGCCAGAATCTGACCTGGGATGGGTTGAGGCAGGGTTCCTAACGGAGGGAAGGCACAAGATTGTACCATTCAAGAGTTCTAAGAGAACACCATCGGGCACAGACTGGTGATAAGCCACAGCCTAGGATGGGGTGACTGTCTCAGATGAGATGCCCAGCGAGAGATGAGGGTGGGGCCGGTCTGGCTGGGTCCAGCTGGCCCAGAACAATTAGTGCGGGAATCACAGTGTAAGGGTCAGCTGACAGTGTTCCCAGTATGATGTAAAGAGGGAGAGATGTGTGTCAGGGTCTGAGAGGGAGTAGTGACCGGGCCATATTCGAGGAAGATGTCAGTAGCTGTTTCGCGAGTCTGTGCCCCAATCCTGAACCACCTAAGGCCAGCCGCGGGATGTAAGCCTGGGGTTGGGGAAGCGGTGGTGATCGAGGCTGGGAAGGGTGAGTGCAGGGAAAGGAGGTGTCGGTTCCTCCTAGGGAGGCCGGGCGGGGGCGAGTCCGTGTTAGTCGTTTGCTAGGAGGGAGATGGAAAGCACCCGGTTTTGCCGCTGACCCTACCTTGCCGCGGGCGCAGCGCACCGAGCGCAGGGCGCCGAAGAAGATGGGCAGCAGCGCCATGAGCAGGAGGCTGCCATAGGCCAGCGCGATTCCCTCCGGCGTGGAAGGCGGCCGCGTCGTGTTGTTGGCTGGGCTGGCAGCCTCGGCGCTGCCGTTATGCGGGTCGCTGAGGGCCGAGTCCATCACCACGCTGCGATCAGAGTCCCAACTCCAGTTCCGGCCACTGCAACAGAATCGCAGAAGGGAAGACAGCAGCAGCGGGGAAAGCCACGTTCCCCTAAAGAAACAGGAAGTGACGTGCTTCCCTCGCCGGCGGAGCCGCGCACGCGTGCGCGTTCACGTCTCCCCGCCCGCACGCCCTCTAGCGGTGGCGGAAGGCTCCCGCGGCCGGTTGCTAAGCAACCTGCCGGCAGCGGTCGGGAGAGAGCCACCACCACAGCAGTGGGCATTTGTCCGGAGGGAGTCCAAGGATCCTATTTTCAGTCCCAGTAGCTTCCTTCATCCTAGGCTGTCCCACAGATCGTTATCCTCATGAGTAAGAATTTGTTTACTCATGCATATATTCATCCAATATTCCATCGTTCCTTCACTCCTTAAGTATTTGAGTATCCCATTATATGCCAGGCACTGCCCTAGGCTCTGAGGACAGCGAAGAGGAGCAATGCTGGCAAAAAGTCTGTTCGTGACCTCATTAGTGTGGTGGAATGGGAGGTGTTGGGAAGATAATAAAGTCTCAATAATAAGGTATAAAGTCTATAGGGTGCTAGTGTGTAGTTTTATGTTACATAGGATAAGCTGATGGACATAAGTAATTTAGAGAGGCCTCTCTGGGAACCTAGTGCACTTCTGTTGGGTCAGGGTGGCTCCAGTCAGTTCCACAAGATGAAGTTCAGGTGGCTGGCTCTTCAGATGAGCAGCTCTGTGGGTCTCCCAGTGTACGTGTGCCCAGGGGTGAGGAGAGGGTGTGGGTAGGAGTCACCTGGGCTTGGGCGTGGGCCCATGCTGTCTGGGGCTCCTGGTTATGTTACTGCTGCCCTAGTTAAGAGCTGGAGAATGTGTGTTAGATGAACTAGAGAAAGTTGCACCTTGAAGGCACTTTGCCCTGAGAAACTTTGAGCCAAGCAGTGGAGAAGAAAGCATGCTTTCCAGGAACCCAGAAAGTGAGCCAACCTGGAACCAGGAAGGAGAGGTCCATTCTCTTCCTGTGTCCTTCTAGTGGACCTTACTGAAAAGGCTTAACATATGTCAGCTGGCAAGGAGAAATATTTACAAGGCTCAGCTCCATCATCACAGAGCTGGCAAATAGTGGGTTTAGATCTGAGAGGCAATAAAATGGCACAGATGGTATAAAATCACATGGCTTGGTCCAAGCTTAGCAGGTGGTGAGGTGGGGCTGGAACATGGGATTCACGGTAAGGGGAGACAAAGGCAAGAAGTCAGACTATATACGTTTGGATAATAGAGGTGTTTGCTTAGTATACTCCAGGCACTACTAATAACTATATGTGTGTTTCTTTGATCCCATACTACTTGTAAGGGATGACGGGTCCAATTTTACAGATGAGGAGACTAAGCCTCACAGAAGTAAACTAGCCAGTCCAGGGCATACAGTTGGCACTGGGAGAGTGGAGACTTGAACTCAGGTCTGGAAGACTCCAAAGATTGCTCTTTCCAACACTCCAGCCACATAGAAGGAGTTTGGACCAGGGTACCTTAGTTCCGGGCAGATGGTGTACACTTTCAGGCTCTGTTTCCCAACAAGCTGGACATGACCTGAGTGAGTGGGTGAAGGCAGTGTGCCTGATGAATTCATCCATCAATAATTCAGGCCGTCGGATTTGCCCAGCAGCCAGCCCTGGTGGCTCTGAGCCTCCTCATCTGAGAGCAAATAGTTGGAAATCAGAGACTCCCCTGCTTCACGCTAGGCTGAGCACTTGATTTAGTTTGGCCCGGGACTGATCACGCCATCTCCCTTTACACTCCAGAGTGGGAGATTGTGCTTCTGACCCATAGAATTAAGGGGTTGACCCAAGTTCGGAAAGCTCTTTTGGGGGGTTGAATTCTGGTTTGGGGTCTACCTGTCCTGATATTCTCCAGTGATAAGGATAGGGCAGTCTGAGGGTAGGCACCTGAGGCTTTATCTGATAAAGTCTCCCGTATGAGGCAACTTTTCGAGAGAGATCTGAGCTGAGGTCAGGAATGGAGGTTGTTTAGAGCCTGGGGTAGTTAAATTACCAAATATTTGTTCTAAAGAAATATGCAGCCCTGGCTGCTGTGGCTCAGTGGATTGAATGCTGGCTTGCAAACTGAAAGGTCACTGGTTCGGTTCCTGGTCAGGGCACATGCCTGGGTTGTGGGCCAGGTCCCCAGTTTGGGGCATGCGAGAGGCAACCAATTGTTTCTCTCTCTCTCTTTCTCTCTCCTTTCCCCTTCCTCTCTTTTTAAAAGTAAATAAATATATAAATACAAAATTTAAAGAAACATGCAGTTCTTTCCCACATCTTTTCACTTAATATTGTATTCAGTCACTGTGAATAGATTTCCAATTTCCCAGTTTTTTTCATGTGTTCACACACACACACACACACACGGCACACACTACTGCATGCTTAAATAGTTCTTCCTAAAAATTTTTTAAAAGATTTTATCTATTTATTTTCAGAGAGAGGGGAAGGGAGGGAGAAAGAGAGGGAGAGAAACATCTATGTGCAAGAGATACATCAATAGGTTGCCTCTCGCATGCCCCCAACTGAGGACCTGACCGCAACCCAGGCATTTGATTGAGAATCAAACCAGCGATCTTTTGGTTCACAGGCTGGCATTCAATCCACTGATCTACACCAGCCAGGGCTACATGTTTAAATAGTTCTGAAAATGAGAAGCAAAGATCATCAATGGATAAAACTACTGAGGGAAAAGTTGTTAAGGAACAGGATATTCACACAGTCTTAAAGTGTTGAATTACAAAAGGGAGATGTTTCCTTTACAATGGAGTGATCTGGCGGGCACTCCCTTAACAGAATGATCAAGCTTAGCATCAGCAGATAGGATGGAACAAAATGGCAAGATGAATGCAGTGTGAAGGACACATTACCTGGGTGATCTTGCCAAACACGTTTACCTGCATCTACTCAAGAGGAAACGTCCGAAAAATCAGCATTGCAGCATCCTCTACACGACAGCTGGCCTGATTCGTAAAAAATGTCAGTGCCATGACAGAAGAGAAAACTCCCTGAGACTGTTGTGGATGAAAGGAGATTGAAGAGAGGTGAAAAACCATATGCATCTTCCTTGATCACAGCACTTTTACGAAGAAAATGCTCAGACGGGCAGGAAAATTCCAATATGGGTTGTTTGGATGTGGCAATGGCATGGTGGTTCTGTGGGCCCTTTAAATCCAGGCGTGGTCCCCGGACCAGCAGCGTCAGCACCACCTGTAATAAATGCATACTTTCAGGCTCCCCCCACACCCACCAGATATCCGGGCGATCCACATGCACGTTTAGTTTGAGAAATGCCAGTGTAGAACTTCCTTATTCGCAGAAGGTGTCTTCTGCCTCATGAGCCCAGGTGGCCCTGGGTTTTCAGTTCTTGTGAGAGAATGGGCTTGAAAGCAGTAAAACTCTCTATATAAATATTTACTGTTCTTTTATCTGTTGAGGCCACAGGACTTTTAAATATACGTGGTCAATAAATATTTATATGTAAATGAATGAATGTGTTGTTTCCTCCACCTAACCTTTTTCTCACCCCATGACTCTGGGGAACCCCGACTCACCCCTCAGAGCCTGAGTTAAACATCATCTCCTCAGGGACCCTCAGGGAACGCCCACGCTCCTGGCAGGGCGGAGCCCCTACTAAATGCCATGGTGGTTTGACTAAGGTAGAGGAAATAAGCAGAAACACGACCCCCGTGCCTCGTCGAATCAGGGCTGGAATCCTCATTTGGGAAAATGTTTTTGGAGGCCAAAACAGCTGAGGTGCATTGTGTCTTTGGCTCCACAACCCTAGAGAAATTCTCAAACAGGTCTCCTAGGGGACATACCCAAGGATTTCCCTAACAGGGAAGGGAAATCCCCCCTTTGTTCTTTGCCGGTTATTTTTTTGGTTGTGGTTTGTTAGGGAGGAGTTAGAGCAAACCCAGGTGCGTGTCCCTGAGGAAGAAGTTGACAGAACGTGCTGGATGTGCACTAAGGGACACTAGGTAGCAACGGGACGGGCAAAGCCAAGTGCGTGCTCAGCTGTGCACATCCTGGCTGGGCAGGAGGGCCGTGGCTTCTGCCCTTGGTCCTGGCTTAATTATTAATAGAATCCCTTGCACTCTTAAAAGAGTACCAGTTTGGATGATAATGTACCATCACCATCGTAGGTCAGGTTCCCTAGAAGCAGAGCCTGAGGTGGGGATTCTTGTTTCAGTGATTTTGGGGGAAAGTGTACTTAGGTATGTTACTGGGGAGAAACAAGTTAGGCTCCCCCTCCTCAGTTCTTATCTAGCTCTTGACAGGCAAATTCAGTCCAGAGACCACATGTATAGTGGAAATGAGATACTAAGTTTATGAAATACACTTGAGCACAAAGCTGCAAGCAGGCACCCAGCTAGTCTGAGTGCTCCCCTTATTGGGGTTTTATGCTTATAGCCAGCTTCTAGGATTCCCCCTTGTCCTCTTTTCTCTGGACCTTGAGATTAACAGTCTCAGAGGCTTTCTTTCCTAGATAGAAGTGATACACACAGAAATTCAAAGGCTCCCCTCCTCCTGCACTATCATGATTTTTCTTGTGATTTTCAGAAATCTTACCTGGCAATCTTCTCTGACCAGGCTCAGGACTGCTGAATTAATGGGTGAGACATGTCTCCTGCCCCTCCCTGCCCGTTTGAGGGAAGGAAAGGCTAAGGAACTAAAAGGCTGAGTGAGGAGCGGGTCTCAGCCAGAGACTTACTTCAGCCTGACTCCAGGGGGAGCTCTGGAGGACACGCTGCAGCACGCAGTTGCTCCCCCTTGAGGTTAGTCCTCTCCTACCCCTGTCAGGCCACACGGTCTAGGGGAGGCCCGGTGGGGTTGTGTCCCTGGCTAGTTGACTTCTGTTTGACCGAGAGCAATTCTCCAGAGAAGGTGACAGCTGTGAGTGGCTTTCAGCCACCACTCACAACAGTGGGGGCTCATGGTAAAGGGGACCTGGGTGAGGCACTAACTTCATCACTTATTATCCCCCCAATCCTCATCAACATGTATAGATCTTTAAAACACAGAGCTGAACATTAAGAAAAATGTACTATATGATTTATATAAATTAACAGTACA